AAAACCCCGCTAGCCGACGGTAGGCTCGTGCTGGATCTCACCAAACAGCGAGAGAAAGATCGCCGCCGGCGCCAACAAAACATGCACTACACATACGGGAGTAATGATCCCGTTAGTTGTCGTGCCCGGAATCACTAAACAATCAATAATATAACCCTTGCTTTCTCCAAACCAATATATTTGACTTAAGAACTGTTACCCGGTGACCACAGAGTTACCCAGAGATACCCAGAGCCACTTATAAGCCAGTCCCCGCTCCGGAGCCAACCGCCGATTCGCGCCCCGTTCAAAGCGAGTGGAGCAGCTGCGCTCTCCATGCGCCTGGATCCGCCGCGTGGGGACGCCTCGAGCGGCCGACTCGCCGCTGGCGTGACGCGTCGCGTCGCCGCGTCGCGACGCCACACCCGGGGGAGGCGTCTAATTCGGGCGCCGCGACGCAGCTTCTGGGAACGCGCCGTCGCGGGCGCCGCTCGATGCCACAGCGCACGCACTCGGCAGACGCGGACGGCGCGCCGGCTTGGGATGTGGGGCAGTCATCCAGCAACGCGCACTCGTTCTGTTGCAAATGTTCACACACTTATGCTGCGACTCGTATCATGCCGCGCCGCCAGCGGCGGCTCTAGGGTGGGGAGCATGGTCTCCATCCCCCCCTAACCTCTAGGCTGTCCGGGTGACGCCGCGTCGTTGGCAGATAGGCCGACGTTTCGCCTGTCATGTCGCTGGCTTCTTCAGGATAGTGACACAGTAAAGCTCCTCCTCCGGTAAGATTTACTGTGTCACTACCCTGAAGAATGACAGGCGACATGACAGGCGAAACGTCGGCCTATCTGCCAACGACGCGGCGTCACCCGGACAGCCTAGAGGTCATGAACTCGAGCCGCGGAAGCCTACGTGTTCATCCATCCCGCCCTCCGAAAAGGCCTAGAGGTTTTGTTATCTACCTTTATTTGGAAAATTTGATTTAAATATTAAATTATGTTGGTGTTATTTAATTATTTAAAAATAATATTGTATAGTAACATATATACACTGCAAAAATTGTATACAAAACAAATGTTTGTTATTTAACAAAAATCTATGGTACATGTAGGCTTCCGCGGCACGAGATTCATTTCTTCGAGGCTGTCCGGGTCGTTGGAGGAGAGGCCGACTTTTTGCCTGTCATATCGGCTTCTGAGGAAATCTATGGTGGCCTCCTGCAAAATGATCGGGTGAATTCACCCCTGTCCGCCGCGATCTTCCTTACACTACACACACTTTACGACTTCCATCCTTTCCGATTGACATCTGTCATCATTCATGCAAGCACCAGATCCCAGTTCTTGGGTCCTTCGGCCCAGGCGAACTGGAAAGGGATTCACCAGCAAAAGGTCTTGTTCTGAGTCTCGTTGAGTGAAAATGTTCTCACATATTAACGACTCGCACCGGGGTCGAGTCGAATCTCTACGCAGTGTCCCCTGAGTGGGGAACCACAGGTGATGCCGAGTCCGAACGAATTCAACGAGTCTTGGGATTGCTGCCCGACGGAACCCTAATGCACCCGACCAGCCGATAGTACCGCTGAGCTGCTTGGAAACTGACGGGCGTTTCCAATCCTCCACCAAACACTTGAACCGAAATCCTTACTCCCCAATAGTTATATCTATAAATGTGTGTAAAATATAGCGTTCTCGAATGCGTCTTACATTTCGCTATACTTACGATCTGACATAGCGAAGGCTGGTAACCCGCGTGCCATTTTTTTGTCCTCGAGTAAACATCCGTTCTCGCAAAAAGCGTTGGCGGTCAAGAGTAACTCGTGTCCTCATGCTTGGCGGCTGGCAGCCAAGGGCTGGGTCGCGGCCTTTGTGGTGCTTTTTCTTTCCATCGCGGCTTCTCACCACTTGGCATCCTCCCCCCCCCCACCCACACATACATACACGTGGAAAAGGTCAGTTAAAATTGCCGGTTTTGTAGGCTTAAGATGAAAGAAAGTACAATTGAATCTATAATCTCGTATACATTTTGTGGTCGGACTCTCGGACTCGGAACAGTCATTGAATAGTAGCAATTTGATAAATCTGTTTTCTACTGAAGGGGCGACTTTTCAAAAAAAAATATATTCATATAAAGCTTGTATGGGCGTATATGCTGTATGTTTTGTTAAAACCTATTCAATTGTTTCATACAACATTTCAACACAACACTAGAATTTATCGACAAAAAACAATAAGAAACTGGAAGGGGAGAGTGACCCAATTTCAAAGATTGATAGTTTCTCTTCCTGGTAATTCTTCTGTGAATATCATAAGAAAGTGAATATCCCACAAAACTGCTTGATTTTCAGAAACGAAAGAACCATAGAAAAACACATCGTGTATCTACTTCTTCCACTACAAGTTCTACGTGGATATTAAGTGATTCCATTTCGATTCTACAGCCAGGGTGCCGGGGATCGCCTCTCGTTTGGAGAGCCTTGCATCCCCGAGGAAAACCGTTTTTGCTTATCAAGGGCTCAATCCATATTAGATGCCTTATTTGTGATTGCCCTGTTCTGAAATGTTTAAATCAAATAGTTCTAATAAAGAAAACTGGACAAGGAAACATTCCCCAGAGCATTCTTAGGATTCATGCGGACTGTGTGGTGTGAGCGAAGATGTTACCCTTTCTCTCATCAATTCTTCGATTCGTCAGATCACGGAGCATTAAATGCCTCCCTCTGGGGAGAAAATAACCAATTTTCACCCAGCCTACAGGTAGCTGGTGGTTATGGTATGTCAACAGATTTGAACACAGAACCATGAGTCAGCACACCGGAAACTGACATTGATTCTGACAGTTCATCAAATAAACAGAAACATCGCAGTTTGCAGCTTTGACAGCCTGATTTTTTTTATTTTGTTGTCGCGAGCGAGCGCAGGCAGCGCGTGTGACGCGTATGTGTTTAGATTTATTTAGTAAAAAACTGTACGTAACGTATGGGGGAGAAGATGATCTGCGCTCGTTTTCTTGAGTTCCAGAATCATTTTTACTATAAATAAATAAATAAAAATAAATTTTAAAGAAGCGCGGGAATGGTAATACTTGAAAAAAATTAGACATTTTCGTTCCCGAGTTGTAGAAAACTTATTTGCTTCGGTAAACGAATTGCAAGAATGATTTTTTTGCATTGCTAACGAAATAGTAACTCGCCCTTACCTCAACTCCATTATAAGCAAAAGGAGAGTTCAACCAAACGTGCGCTTAATTTACGTCCAGAAGCAAAACAAGGGGCCATCTCAGCATTTGCTCAATGTATCAGGAAAACTGGGCAAAAATCTGATCGAGATGGGGGTCATTGACTCGGAAGCTGAAGTACATTGTTTGTTACAAACATATTAAGTCTTTTTAAAAAAATTATACAATACAAACACAGATTATACATGCGAGTGTGTGTGTGTGTGAGTGTGTGTGTGTGTGTGGGGGGAGTGAGTGTGTGTGTGTGTGAGTGTGTTTGCGAGTGTGTGTGTTTTGTTAAAGTAAACATAATTTTTGTTTTTGATAATGAGTATAGCCTCTAATTGTATAGAAACAGTTATGCAGCAGAAAATATTTAACTTTTAACTTAAATCTGTGAACCGACTTCAATTGTTTAATGCCGTGTTCGGGCGTCTGTTGCAGATTCTGAGGGCCCCGGTTCGAAGCCGCGCGGCGGCAAACTGGCCCGCCGGGCGCGCTCCTTCAAGGAGGACTTCCTGGAGATCCTGTCTCAGATGCGGTCGCCCGGCGGCGCGGGCGGCGGCGCGCAGCGCTCCTGCCTCGCGCACGTCGCCCAAGGCGCGCCAGCGCGGCAAGGCGGGCCGCCGAGCACACCGACGCGCGCACCGCGCCCGCGCCCCGCCCCGCGACACAAGGAGCCCGCTCCAGCGACCTGCAGCCCACGTCCAGCAGTGGGGCGCCTCGCTTTCGGAGGAGTGATTGAGCAGCTCCGATATGGGAAACAACCCCCCCGGAATGGGCAGGCGCACATCCCAACCACACCCAATCTCAATCAATTAGATGATAAATAACATCGAATAGATTATATTAATAATAAATAATAATAATAATAATAATAATAATACTCATAATAATAATTAAAATACAGTTCTTGAACCGAAGCAATAATTTCTACAAAATTACAGTTAATAACTAGTATGATGATCTAAATTTAACTCAATCAGTAAAAGGCTAAAGGCTTAGGATGCCAGCTTCAAATAACAAACATAAATATAATAATGATTAATTATTATTATTATTATTTAATAAAAATAATATATCGATGCATGTATAATAAATAATCATAAAAAAACTCTATTCCATAATAAGGATCCATACGAAAAAAAAAAAGAAAAAGAAACTTCTATAATCTCACTCTACACTGGATGTTTGTTCAATTAATACCACATCACACCACATTGCCCTTCACTTCACTGTGACTCTTAAATCACTTCCTTCAGTTCCTGAGTTCACTTTCTGAGTTTTTGAGAAACTTCATATGGATGCTAGAGTTTCATTCTCGGCTTCGCTAAATATTTGTGTTTATTACGTACAAAATTTACTTTTCAGTATTAGTACAAACTTGTAGTAACAGACAATTATTCTTGCATTTTAAGTCAGATTTCTTGTTGACTGTTGCAATTCTAGATCCACAAGATATTTTTACTTCTCTCCATATGCCACTTACAGTTTTTACTGTATTTTTATGAAAAACCAAATATTTCATTAATAATTCTTTGGATTTGTTACACTAGAAGGAAGTGAATTTATTTAATAAAAAATAAAAATATATTGAAGTAAAACTCTTACAGTTTTTATTATTGCGTAAGTTTTGGCAGTAGAATAGTTGGAGCTTTCTGCAATGTAAATTCATCACTTTTGCATTGTCAAAGTGTAATTTGTAATCCCTACTTGGGCATTATGTTATTAGCTTTAATTTCTTTATCTTGAGGGAATTTTTTTACCTCTTTTGTGAGTGTGAATAATATTTTCTATATTTCTTTGTAGGTTCATGTTGCCCTAAAACATTTTAGAGATGTTGTCAGCAAGAACAAATTAGAAATGCTGCCTGGAAATGGGACTGTAGTTCTGGATACTGTTACTACTATCCATGGTGTGCTGAAGATGTATGTCTTAAATGAGCAAAGGTGAGTTAACATTAAACATATTATGTACGAGAAAAATTTGCTGTAATCAGAACTATATATATTACTATATAAACCTGCTGGGTCTTGGTTAAAATGGTCTATGATTATTTGAAAATATTAATGATTAATTTAACTTAGCAAAAATGTGTGATAATTAACAATGTATGGAATATTATTTTGAAGTCCAAAATTTTCAAGTCTCTTCATGTGTGTAACAATAGTGTGTGTACAGAAACCTCCCTACAGTAAACAAGTATTCATTCACATACATATGTTTACACATACTCTGGCACTAAATAATTATGTACTTTAATTTTCCAGTTTTCATTTATTCTAATAAAACTGATATATTATGATTAACAGTTCAACTCTATTGTCGGCCACAAATCAAGTTTACCAAAGTCTTGCCAAGTTAATCAAGTTATGTGATGATGTGTTGCTGCATGGAGACAAAGCTCTTGCCCGAGAAAATGTCTCAGAAGTTGTTCAAGTTGTTGAAGAGGCTGTGCAAGTAAGTTTTTATATTAATCGATAGTGAAAATGAATCACTTATGGTTTCTAATTTCTTCACGATGTCTAATTTTATATTTAAATTGTCTTCATGCTCCTATTTCATTATTCATTACTTTTGTTGTTTAGAACTTAAATATTGATTTGTTTGACGGTATCTTAAGGTCAAGTACATTATTTGTCAGTTGATAAATCTATGTAATAGTATTTATAAAATATACCTAAAAAGAAGTGATTAGCTGAACAGTTTGAAACTAATATTGATGGAACTTTGAATTAAAAAATCTGTAGTAGGTATAACCATAAAATATCTCTAAACAGGTAGAAGATAAGTATACAGCCCTAAGAATAAAGTTACAAGCAGGGTTAAGTAGTAACTCCATGTTATTTCCAGAACAGTCTCTCTGGAGAAACTTGTATTTGTATGTTTGTGTTTGCTGAACAGTCAAAGATGAAATGTCCATTTGGAGATGAGTTGACCTCAAGTGACTGGGTTAATTGTCACTATGTTTTTCACCTTTTCTCAATAAAATTAAATGTTAAGAATTGTGAAATGTCAAAAATTTTAGATTAATTGTTTTTATTAAGGGTTGAGGATGCCATGCATACCGCCCACGTGAAATTTGTCATTATTTATGTACCTTTTCTAGGAAACGTTTAACTAGAAAATTTTGATATTTCACACACTTAAAGATAAAACCTTTTTTATTATTTTGTTTTGAGTTGAGTAAAAATTATTTAGTTTTTTTCAATTTTAACTTTTGCCCTAATTTGTTCCAGCATTTTTGGACAAACTTTTTTTTTTATTATTTGTTATTATTTATTGAACAATATTTGTTAAAATAAGTCAATTTATTGCCAATTTTGTAAAGAATGTATCCTGTAAGTATCAATACATTGTGAATGATAGAAAAGTTACAATAATTACATAAGAACATGTTTAGGAAATGCCATTTGAAAAAAGGCTGTGCTTTCTGCTGCTGTACTAGAACATTACTGCTCTGTATTCTGTAAAACTTTTTTCAGCCAGAGTGAGACCAATGCTAGCAACATACGAACAAGAGCATGTTTCAGTAACTAATTAACATCCAAACATGCGTTCAAAAATACAAAAAAATAGGCATTCTTGTAGGCAGTGTCCAAGAGGGGACGTGGCTCATGCCCACTAGGACATTTAAATAAGAATTAAAGGGACATCCAAACATCCTAGAAGAAAAATGTTGATATATTTAGAAAGAGAATTGTTTGAACTGTTTACTTGGCAAAAAAAACAAAAATCGATAATTTGAACTATTTCATGCTACTCTCTCTCCTTAAATGATTTCATAGCTACCTTAACATAGTTGAAGAATTTGGTATTGAATTGTAACTTCAAAAATTCGTATTTATAATGAAGGAAAACTTTTGGTCAAATACACTTCACGGAAAGGATGAAATTAAACTGAGTGCAGGAACTCGAAAGAAATTGACCAACACAGAGAATAACAAAGAGGACAAGTCAAAAAATAAACATTCTTAATTCATGAAAATGAGGCATTTTAAAAACAGGAAAAATAAAAGTATTCTCAACTGAAAGAATGAAGTCTTAAATGAAAAGAAAACATTTTTAACAGATAGGAAAATTCTACAAAATGTCCAGTTCCATTAAGGAAGCCTGCCAACATAAGAACATTTAAGCTTGTAAATACAAATTTATATCCAAAATTTATTTATTGTAAATATTTCATCAAAAATTCAAAATTTAACACTTGCTGTATTTGCTCTTGCAATTTCAAGATATCAGTTTTCACACCTCCCTGAGTTCTTAAATTTTGGTTAAGAAAGTAATGTGTTTGTAATGTTATTAATGTAGTAAAGAACCATTTTAAAGCTGGAACCTTCTGCATTAAATGTTTTATTTTCTTTGCTAAAAATGGGGGAAAAGCTGATCATTTAGACCTTGCCTCTCATACTTCTTTCTTCTCTTCTATATTTAACTTATCAATAATATCCTCATCAAGGATATTTGGAAACATTAAATTTGTTTTTTTCTTGGTAATTTAATTGAAATTTGAAATGAATTTACCATTTTTTTTTCTTCTTCTTTTTACTCTAGAATCTGGTCACCCTAGCTCAAGATCAAATTGCCAATCGAGAAACAACAATAAAATCCACTGCCAATCACGTGAATCATTATCACCCTCCTAACTCTGATCACCGTTCCTCAGCCTATGCTCTTGATCTGCCTCACCGCAATTCTTTACCTGACATTCCTTTAACTCCTCGTGAAAGACAGATTTTGGAGCAGACCTCCTCATCCATGTTAGAGAGGCCAGGTCAGAACGCCATTCCACACTCGCAAAGCTCAGAGTCAATTTTAAATGATCTGAGTCCTCCACCGAAACCTCCACTACCTGGAAGGTATGTATGGCGGTTCCTGTCATTCTGCATTACTGCAACAATCCAAACTAGCTTGCGCAAATTTGTGTTACATGGTATTTTGTTGTATGTGAATCAAAAAATCTCATGTCTCAACAGGTGATGAGCAAAAGATGAGCATCCTGACCTATCAAATTGTATTATCGATGAAACTCTAAGTGTTTTTGATTGCAAAGTAAATGAATGATTTCTGTAGAAATGAGAGAGAATATTAAAATTTCATATTAAGAGTCATTTTCTACATAGCCTCAATTGTGTTCTCTCTTAGAGATGTTTTGGAAAGAAATATGCTTTTCTGCATTTTTCTTTGTTCCTTTTTCATTCAAAAATATTTGCAATTTACAAAATTATTGGTGGAAATATAATTAATTAAAAGTGACATAACCACTCATTCTGTAAATTAATATTCTTTTTTTATAAAATAACCTGGTATACTGGCAAAATGTCTGTGTCATAAGAAAAAAAGAAGAAAGAAAGAAAAAAAATCGTCAATCATTAGTTACACTTTCTTAATTACCTCCTTTCCTATAGGCACCACTGGAAAAAAGGAAATATTGTTCCAAAAAATTGAAAGGTTACTCCCTAAAAAACAATTATATTGTTCTTCTTTGATTGAATATTTTATCAAAATATACATTTTTATACTTTTTTCTAATTAATGCTCAAGTTGCTGATGTAGTTAGAGCACGTATCTCAGTGTAAAGGATTTGATGTTTGAAGTCTTCAGAGGGCAAGCAGAATTTCGATGGTGCCTTTAAAAGTTCATGTATCCGAGGAATATTATTTGTCAATGCATAGTTAATTGAACTTTCCTCAAAAATAGCTTAAGAGTAAACTTCAGCTAAAAACTTATAATAAAAAATGAAATTTTTCTGATATGTAAGAAACGCTGGAAATGAATTTGTATAAATGATAAGATCAAAGAAGGGTTAAATATTACCCTGTCAGTCACCAATAGTTCAGAAACTCAATCATGTGTATTTACTATTTTTATCATAATTTTTAATGCACTTTTTGATCTTAAATGTTACAAACAAATATGTTGTTCTTCGTATTAGATACTATTTTTGTAATGCATTCTTCTGCGATGACATAACTTCACTCTATCTATATGTTATATTTCCTGTAACTACATCCTTGTGAAGGTGATGTAACTTGTTTTCCAGGATGTTCACGACAGACACTGGAGATGCTCCTACTGGAGAGCCTCCTCCTTTGCCTCCAAAAAGACGTAACAGATCTCAGCAATCACACCAGAGTCAGTCTGCCTCTCAGCAACATATTGCAGATATAGACAACTCAGCTCATGATGACAGTGCTGCAAATTCTAGTTTAACCGATACATTAAACAGTAGCAGTAACACTGGCTTAGCGGCCAGTTTCGATCGGATAAGTTTGCGTAGCAAATCTCCTGAAGATACTTCTTCATGTCTTAGTGCATCAGCGGGAAGTTTGGATTCTGTTTTGAATCATTCTCGAGAAGAAGAGGAAATTCAAGTTCTCATGGATACTTCTGAAGACACTGTCCTTGCTAGTGACAATATTCTTGCTCAAGGTATTATAAGTAGAATGTATTAGTATATTTATTTTATTTTCTCTCAATACATAATTCACATAATTACTATATGCAGGGTGTTCAGGGAGGAAACAACAAAACTTCTAAAATAAGCTCTTATGACAATTTAAACATATTTAGTCTAATAAACTCCTTGGATATTCCGAATGACTGAGCTGTAATTAGCACTCAAAAGTTCATTTGAAAAAATAGTAACAAAGCAAATTCAGAAACACCTAAACACTCCAGAAACAAAAAAAAGTATATTTGATTACAAAGAAAAACAAAACAGAAAAATAAAACCAACCAATTTACACAATTCAACTGCAAACTCTCTGAATTTTCAAAAATTACTTAAGTTAAAAATAATGCAAGCAAGTATGTACTGTTATAGCATCACTTTTTTTCTCTTGCAGTACCTTTCATTTCTTAATCATTCTGGATGTTTACTTAACTAAACGTTTGCTCAGACCTTAGTTTCTTTGAATAAGATCTCCCGAGGGAGCAAAAAGAGCCTGCTCAAATATGTTCATCTTGATATTCATTTTATAAAGATATCTGCCAAAAGACGTGCTAATAAATTATAACTCAACAATATTCTCATATTAGATGTAATCTTTCTATTGTATCATAACAAACAGATTGTGTACATAAGTTATATTTTCTCCAAAATTGAGCTTTTACAGCATTTCTTATTTGAATTCAACTGATTTCAAGTTGATTTCAGTATATCATGAATTTTGTCCACTTTGTTGTTAAGTTTGTTTTTATTTTTGAGATGTGTGTGTGTGATGAATTAGTATTCACATTCTAATCAGAACATCCAAAACAATCACAAATGAAAAGATTTTCTTGTATTTAACTTGTACAAATATTAATGGAGAGAACAGCAACTAATATTTTTTTTATTATTTTCTTCTTAACAGGGTCAGCAATTATGCTGAATGGAAGTTCTTGTAATTGTTGGGACAGTTCTTCAAGCAATGCTTCTATAGAACAAACTCAAGTTTTAGCTGCACCAGAAAAACCTCCTCTTTCACTGCTGGATCCTACTAGAAAATCACCTCTATATAATACTGAACTGACTCCTATACCTCCTGGAACTACTATTGGTATTATGTTATTTGATAAAGTTGAATTTTTTTAAAGTACAATTCTATATTATATTAATGTTTACTGGCATTTTCAGGATTTGACTCTACAATTGGAAAACTAGATCATCTTTCCTCATCTCAAGCAGAATCTGGTTTTGCATCTATGCATTCTTTGCGAAGTTCAAGTCAGAGCTATACAGCTTCTTCTGTTTCATCTCAGCAGTTCAGTTCATCTGTATCAAGATCTTCTCAACAAAGTAGTGTGTCCTTCAGCAGCTCAGAAGCATCATGTAGCAAGACTTGGCAGGTTCAAAAAACCAGTTCAACTTCTGAAACTACTAACTTTAGCTCCTCATCTCTGACTACCACACAACATCTCACTTCCTCTGATACCATTTCTACCTCAATAGTGCACCGTAGTGAATCTACAATGGCAGCCTCTAGTTTAGTAACCATTGGTTCAGACTCTATCACTAGTGTTGGTTCAGGTGAAGATGCATTGTCCCTTCTGGATAAGGAGATGCCAAGTTTATCTCCGGTTCATGATTCCACCTCAGAAAGTCCTCCCATGTTACCCCAAAAGACACGCTCAAAGAGAAGAAAAGACAGACAGGTATCACAATACGACAACGTGCCAATGGACGAAACTGATCTAGCTGCTGGCAGCCATCAAGAACAACGTACAATTGTCAGTTGCAGTACCCATCAAGCTGTGCAGCAAACAACTTGTCGCAGTCCAGACAACAAACCACCACCTTTACCTCTAAAGAAGAAGCACAGTAAGTTGCATTATTATTGTATTTTCATCAACATACAATGGAACTTTTAATTTTCTAAGTAGATATAGATGTGTACATTTAATCTCATCCTTCCTAGATATATTTCCTTAGATTACATTCATAGGTAGCTTAGAGCTCAAAGATTAATAATCTTAATTGACTCAAAAACAGTCATGGAAATTATGAGCAAACCTAAAAACTAGTTCACAATAATACACAGGTTCATTCACACAGCCAACACATACAAGCTTCCTTTCACATGGGCTAGTGACTAAAAGACTTATGTTTGTTTCTCAGTGTTCCAGTCTGTGGCATATTCTGGTAAGTGCTCTGTGGGATCATACTTTTCCAGCTCTCTTCTGCTCTTCCTCATCTGTTTTATTTCTTCCATCTTTGTCTATGTTGTACTTGATGTTTTATGCACATTGTTCCATTGGTAATTTTCATGGCATATGAACATATTACACAAGAAACAGTTATAGTTACTTTGATACACATGCAATATGTGAATCTTGTTATTGTATATAATATTTGATTTTAAAATAATATTTTGTAGTCAGTAATGTTATGTGTCCTCCTCAGTATTTAGAACTTTATTTTTAGAAACTTCAATTTAAATTTCTTGATAAACATTGCTGTAAATTGTGGCATTATATTTTGCTTGTATCTTTTCCTGCAAGTTTGGATATTTTTGGCATTACCTACTTAGTTTTTATTAACTTATATATTCATGAAAAGTTCACCATGTGTTTAATTTTACTCAATATATGTCTCAACTCAGCTAGTAGCTCCCAAATTTTCACTTTTGTAAGCACTTGCATTGTATTCCTTCTTCCTGTAGATGTATGCTCTTCAGCTTGCTGATTCTAGATGCTAGCTAGTTTGTAGTACAAGTGCTTGCACAAGTGTTTTACTAGTTTCGTTTCATCACTTCTTGTTATTACATATTCTTGTGATTTGATTTTTATATAATTAGGAATTGAAGTCCCAAGTTATTAAAATTAAATGTGTTACTTACTTAATCATTGAGTGTTTGGTATACTTATGATTATAAGTTAGTTATATTCTTTCGCATTGTTGCCATATGAATGTGTGATGTGTCTTTTAGTGTGAACTTTGATAAGGCAAAACTGCTAATGCATAGTTCTTATCATTCATTTAATCCAATAAATTCAATAACCTAATATCTCCTATTGAAAAGTTCTGTTTGTTAGTACTTCTACTTGTGCCCTCTGTAATAATTTAATTTACACTCTCTACTCCTTATTTTTAATAGGTATATTAATTAATATTGAGCAGGAAATGTATTTCAGATTGTAGTATTCAGACTTAACTGCTGAATATTGAATAAAATGTTAAAATTTCAATAACAAAAGGCTTTGTCTTTCTTTTCAGTTATGGCGTACATGGAGATGTTTGGTAACTGTTCACATGCTAATACCAACGAGTTTCTACGGCATTCTGTTCACACCTACAACCTTTTACAAGCAGAATGGCAACAGCAAGAAATGTCCTTGACCTCAACTCAGTCATGCTCTTTCTCAGTGATGTCTTCTCACAGTAGTCAAATGTTTCCTCCGCCTCCTCCTACTAGTACTACTACTACTACAAGTACTGCCACTTCTTCATTTCCTCGTGTGGACAAGTGAGTTGTTTATTATCTTAATAAATAAATATGGTTGTATTTGTATGAATGCTTATGTGTATGTTCTAAAAACAACAACACTGGAGTAATTAGGTGAATTTTATTGAGCAACATTAAAAAAAAAAAAAAATATTATCCCAAAAACCCCTACTCAAAAATTTTTGTTTCTTGGAATGATGCAACGTGCAATGCATCTATGCTACATTGTAGCCAGCTAAGGTCAATAGCAGATGTGGTTAGAGCATGCAGAGGTGTTTAATATATGATTGTGAGAAATAAATATCCAAACCACCAGGTTATCAGTTCTATTTCTAATATAATTTAAATGTTATTGTTGTTATATGATAATTATAGTTTAGCATAATCTACTATAACATTTTTTTTATTATTTTCTAACAGCAATCATTTCAATTGCTGTAATTTTTTTAGTGAAATTATTCCAAATTGGTATCTGGGTGAAAATTTGTGTCTTTCTAAAAGCGTTTTGGGCATAAAATGAATTCTTCTAATACTCAATTCTGCAATGAATAATTTAATTTTGAGGCATATATACTTTATATGGTAAGGACCAAAGTAGTTTTCACACAATGTAATGTAATTTGAGCAAAATATTCCAGACTTTCATTTGCAAATATTTTAACCACTTTTTTGTTTCTTTTCTAAGTACATTATTTTTCTTTTAAAATTTCATACCATTAACAGAATTATATATTGACTTTTTCTGAATCATATATGACACCTGTAAATAATAAGAAAAATAATTCAAATATTAACAAAAAAACATAATTTAGAAGTCCTTCTCTGTTTTTTGAATTGTTTGGAAAATATTGCCAAAAAAATTTTTGTTGCAGTGTTGAAACATCTCCATCTCCTAATAAGGAACCTATTGGTCTACCTCCTGCGCTTCCCCCCAAACGAAGCCGCACTGCGAGTGTCAGGTCTGCCACAAGTCCACCACCAATGTCACCTCCTCCAACTGTTTCTATTCAAGACATATCAGCTAAAGAAGAGTCTCGACCTATTAGGTATTGCTCTCTATTAAATTTAGAATAATACATCATCGCAGTTGGAATTAGAATACTTTAAATTGCATTGTAAACATTATAGTTTAAGAATTTCATCATTTACATAGTTTTATACTATTGAAAATGTACTCCCAGGATTGTAATTAATTTTTGTTTACTTCAGTGGTTTCAGTATTATGTAATTACAATCACTGTTGAGATGTTACAACTGTTCATTTATTCTTGTTCTATTGATTGGATCCGTAATTTTTGAAAAAATATTGAAAAACCTATGATGATGATGATGGTGATGAAAGGGTTGTCTACATTGGATCCCATTTCTGACTTTTAACCATTATTGATTTTTGTAGTTTTTTGCAAGAAATCAAGTGAAAACATTAAGAAAGTTGGGCCAAATGTGTATTATAGAGTGTAATTTAGAGAAGGTGCATAAAAGTACAATTTGGTAGATAAAGTATATCTCATGAAAGCTTTCCGGATGGCATTGCATCGAAGGCATTAATGCATTAATTTCGAATCAGGGCATTGCATCGAAGGCATTAATTTCGATCATCCTATCGTGGACAACCTGGGCAGCCAAGAGCCTTCACATGATACTCGCTGCAGAAGCCTGAGATTTAAATTAAAGTATATCTGGATGTATTCTTTTTTCTGATAATACGGATTGTGTAGAATGAATCTTCTTCACACAGTTCATTCACAGTTTACTTTTTAATTTCTACCATACAATTTCTTGTGTTAAACATGTCATTTGTGTACTTCAGAAATTGTTTTCATTATTTACATTGTGCAAATGTCCTTATAAAATAAGTTAAAAAGCAAAGAAAATATATTTAGTTACTGTAATTATTTTAAATTATTTTTTTAATATATAAGTAAAACTTACAGAAATCTGCATTAATCGGTTTTTTACATTTTAGCTCTGGTGATGAGGAAAAGAAACATCCAGTGACCAGGCAAGAGTCAAAAACTATTTCTTTACCATCAGAGGCAAATTCAGTCACAGTATCAAAGAAAACTGAAATTGTTCCATCTCAACCAGAAGTTAATCCTCTAGAAGAACTGGAAATTGCTTCTTATTTGGTTATGAAAAAAACAGATGAAGAAGGACCTGATGTTCGTGGTGGTCATCCAGATGCTCTTATTATTCATGCAACCAAGGCAAATAAAAATGGTAAGTTTTTGTTTTTATTTTGTATGTTTTCATGACTGTTTTTATATGTATGAATTTATAATTTAGGATTTTCAGCAACAGAGGTGTGAAAATTGTTAGTTTGAAATTTATTTTTAATGAAAATTCTCTATGCAAGCTTATTACTTGAATGTTCTGTGGTGGTGACAATATTTTAACATAATTTTAATCCAAAGATATATTATTATTTTGCCTTCATGGAATGATTTTCGTGATAGCTTTATTCTTAATAGCAAAAGCTTTGATAAGAAACAAAATTTCATGACAATTTTTCAAATGATGTTAAACATTTACAAGTTATTGTTTAATATTTAAACTCTGTTAAAATTTATATAGTTCCCTTTTTTGATAAAATATATTCACTTTAAAATGCAAAGTTTTGTTTACAGCATTAAGAGATGAACCTCACTGACAAATAATGTAAAAGTTTCTTTAAAAAAAAATTCAAAGCCTTATATTGTATAGATGAAAGAGGTTTTCAGGAAAAAGAAACTGTGTCATTGCTATTTCACATTGAACCTAACCATCTTCACACCTTGCATAGTCTATTTTATAAAATAAACTGATGCTATTGATTTTATTAGATTTACTTTGTCTATTATTATATCAATAATATATTATATTTGCATGACTTCATTGATATTTATATATTTCTACTTTCGTGCTTTCCATCCTGAAGAGGAAAATGAAACGGGTAGGTGTTTCTATGTAATAGTCACTTAAAACACTTAAATGTTTCCAACCAATATAGTAATGATTTACTACCTTTTAAATATGCATGATACATTGTAATCCTCTTTACATTCTTTTTAATTAATTTCCTCAAAAATTAGTTTTCTCAAAACAAGTTTCATTTTCTTTTCCAAATTTTGTCCTTATATTTTTATTGAAAACATTTGTAGTCACAAAATGCTCTGCAATTGAGTGTAATTATCGACATGTTTTTTCAGACTTTATGTACCAAGAAGCATTCCTGACCACATATAGAACATTCCTATCACCAATTGAACTTATTCGAAAGCTTTGCCATCGACACCAGAGGTTCAGTTGCTCTTCTGATTTAGGCAAGCAGCGGGCAGCTCGTGAGGCCTTTTCACTTCTAGTCAGAGTCGTCAGTGACCTCACGTATGTATTACATATCACAATGGAAGAATTATGCTACATATCTTCATTATAAAATCATCCTTAGTATTACTACAAGAAAATAAAATGGTAAAATATTCAATATTTTGTGCATGCTTGTCCATGGTTTTGAAGGTAACAGGGCTTGATTTGATCATTAACATGACCATGTTATTAATGAATTGGGAATAGGAAAAATTAAATGAATGTAATCTCTAGTAAGTATTTGAAAAAAATAGGACTATAATATAAAATGCAAACAAGAGTTGGAAGTTAATGTATAATAAGGTAATTAGAAATTTTTATCAGAGATCTCTCGTTTCTGCAGTCCGCTATGGATTCAATCAATAAAGGTCATTTCTTCTAAAAGAAAAAAGCCTAACAGTATCCCAGTAATTACAAACTCCTCAAGACATTTATTTTCTAAGCAAACTTCTTACAACACAACCGGACAACCATATAGTCACACGTGATCTCTGATGAGGGTCCACCCCATCTCCTTGAGGATTTTTCATCCACTTTCCTTTGATTCAAAGAGTAAATGCTGGGATGGGCTTTAGTTTTACTTTTGGGGTATAAATTTGAATATTCTTCACCTCGTCCTCCTCCCTGAAGACATACACATATGCACACACCACCATATGACACATAGAGTTTTGTACTGTTTTGCCACAAATAAAAAATAAGCAAACATAGTGTTGAACATTTTGAATCCCTGTTAGGAAACTGTACTATTCTCTTATGTTCACAGTGATGTGTGTGATTAAGTATTTTACTGTATTGCCAATGACTGCATGTGAGATGCAAAATTAATAACCAAATTTGAAAAATGTTCTCTTTGCAGGATGTCAGATTTAGATGATGTAGTTCTGCAGACCTTGATGGAATTTGTGTACCAGTTACTCTGCAGTGGTGACCTTACCATGGCAAAAGCATTAAGAGTCAAGATTCTTGAAAAATATAATGCAAAGAAGCTTAATAATACTCCAAATGCTCTTCTCTCATCCCTCAATATTTATACCAGGTATACATCCATCTTCTCTTCTTCTGCTTCATGGATTTAGGCCTTAAGGCCTGATCCCATTATATATCAATGAGGTATTAAATAGAATAAAAAGTCTTATGTGAAAAATTGTAAATAAAAATGTCAATCATTTTTGTTCAGGCAAGCATCATTGTTAGATTTCAAATCAGAACAAATTGCTGAGCAAATGACACTCTTGGATGCAGATCTTTTTATGAAAATAGAAATTCCAGAGGTTCTCATTTGGGCTCAAGAACAGAATGAAGAACGCAGTCCAAATTTGACTCGTTTTACTGAACATTTTAATAAAATGTCTTACTGGTGAGTTATTATTAATTTTTTTTACTTTACTGTTTTGTACTTTACTTGACTGTTGTTTGTAATTTGAATATTAATTGACTATTTTCTATGTGCAATTTAGGGCTCGTTCACGTATTTTGGAACAGAATGAAGCAAAAGATCGTGAGCGATATGTTGTGAAATTTATCAAAATAATGAAACATCTAAGAAAAATCAACAATTTCAATTCTTATCTGGCGTTGCTCTCAGCTCTTGATTCAGCCCCTATTCGCAGATTAGAATGGCAAAAGCATATCACAGAAGGTCTGAAAGAATATTGTGCTCTAATAGACAGTTCTTCAAGCTTCCGAGCATATCGACAAGCCTTAGCCGAAACCCAACCCCCATGTATTCCTTACATGTAAGTTGCATGATTTTATTTTTAAATTTTTGTCTCAATTTCAGAGGATAAAATAGTTCAACTTCAGATCGTATAACTCTCCTGGTAATTTTTTGACTGATGTCTCGAGGGAACAGCTACTGGCACCGCAGCGACTGACTAAGAGGTCTTAGGGTTCAAGTCCTATATGGTGGATTTTCGACACCAGCTAAATAGCTTGGGCAAATTCAGACCCTGTCTGAAGTAGAATTCTAGTGCATGGCTGCTGTGATCAATAGTTTACCATGATCTCAGCTTTACCTTTCCTCAGATCAGTACCAAGCAAATTCTGGAACAGTACCATAACAAATGAGCAATGAATCATGGGCAATCTTTCCTTCCTTATCGATGTCCCTTCCTCTAACCTTTTGCACACACACATTTACATTTACACACACTACTATATCTCTAATGTTAAAAGTCCAGTCAGGAACTTGGAGTTTGCCCCAGCTGGGGTAGAGTACTGCTGGCAAAGATACCTGGAGGGAGAAATCCCATGAGCCAAGGAGTAGTTCAGTGCCAGACCGCACATTCTAATGGGGTGGAGCACTCCCATCTCGTGGGATATAACATGCTGTATTCTATGGGACTTAGGACCAGAGCAGTTACATGCTCAGAAACGCAAAATGTCCAAGAAAACACTTTACTTTGGAAGGATGTGTGTGGATGCAGAACTTCTAATTGCATTTTGGGGCAGCTATTGCTGGTATAAAGATGCTAAACAATCAATTCTAGTGTTGTTGAACATGTATACAAGGATTCACTGTCAAAATTGGCAAGCTTTTGATCCGTTTCGACACAATCACGGCCTATAAAGACATGAAAACTCGGGCAAAAGCTAGCATGTGTTAAAGACCGCGTCCCACTTATGCTGCCATCAGGGGTACATGAGATCCCATGCAGCTGCGGCTACAGTTACATCGGCGAGACGGGGCGAACCATTGAAGAACCTGGACACATTCGCCATACTACACCGTGGCCACGCCATTCTTTCCGACAACATCCGCCCCCTAGCTAAGGACGACCGCTGGAGCCCGAGGAGGGTAAAAGAGGCTATGGAAATTCTCAAACATCCCTAAAATCTCAATGCTGTCCAAGGCGCCAATCTCCACGAGGCCTGTAAAAAGCTATTTTACCGCAATGTCTAGTCGCGACAAGGCGCGGTCGCCGCTGGCCCATGACGTCCGACCACGGACCTTCTCGCACCCGCCCAGGACCCATTTGCCTGATTAGTTGACTCACTCTCCGCATTGGTCGATCGCTCGGCTGACGGGTGGAGGACAATGTCGCTATTTATAAACTCAGGTGCAGTCCATCTCCGTGCATTTCTCCCTGAGGAAGGTCGCGGAATGCCGGTCAAAACGTTAGCTCCTGTGCCTAAGATGCGTCTCCCATACAGGCAAGTAGTTTTTAGAAAATTTTATTGTAAAGGCTTCATGTAAAGTGCCCCCAAAAATCCAAATATCAATTTCAAACTCTCAGGATCTAGAGCTCTTACAGGTAGATCGGAAAATATCAATTTGGGAGAAAATCTTGTGGCGGTACAGACAACGTTTTGATGTTGATCGATTTTTAGGTATTAAGGACTCACTAAACATAGATTCTGACTACACAACGTTATAGGAACAATATTGATCCACTTTTCGCTATATGGGTCCGGCAATAAGGGTGTTTCATGGGCCAAAAATCACAGATTTCCGGCCCATTATTACAATGCTTTCTCTTCTTACAAAGGCAAGAAAGTAAAAATTAAGTCAGGTAATGTGAATTCTAGGAAGTTGTCTATTGGTATATATTCGATTACATATAAAGCTTCACTTTTGATGGTCAACTGTGGCTTTTATCCGTGCAAAAAGCTATTAGTACACATCAGTAGTCATCCTATAAACCATACTTACAGACACCAATACCATAAGTATGGTTTAAGTTATAGGATGACTACTTATGTTTACTAATAGCTTTTCACCTGAAGAAAAGACCCAGTTTTCTATTAAACATTAAGCTTTATATGAAATTGAGTAAAAATTAAGTCCTTTACAATCTAGCCATTAATCTTGAATCTGGAGTGAAGAAAGATCGTTTAACAAAATTATGGGAAACTTGATGGGCAGAATAACTCCTTTGTGTAATTACATTCTTAGATTTTTATTCCATGTATCAATATGTAGAATATGTTGAATATAGAGACGAAGAATTATCAAAACAGTCCTTACATTCAAACAAATCATTAAAAATGGTGATATCATCGTTAAATTCGTTGTGTTTCATGAATTATTTTATTTTATTTTCGTCTCTTTATTTGCCAGGCATTAACACCACGTCATTCGTCGAATTCACTTTTAATTTTGTATAATTATATTATTTTAAAAATAATATTTAAAAGCATTGTCTCAACTTTGTTTTAGAGTGGGTATATTCGAGATCGAAGGAGAAGTGGATATTTTTTTCACATCCAGCGCTAAACAATTTTGAATTAACGATAACAAAAGACAGGGCTATATTTTTCGATATTAGATTTATTAATACCCTCTGAAAATCTGTTTACGTATGTCTACTATCATCTGAGCGTGTACGTAATGTCATATAAGTCCTACGCAGTGGCCTAACATTCGAGGCCGGGAAAAAGAGGGCGCGTCTTTAGGGGGTATTTTTATTATTTAAGGTACTAACACTACTTGTGTTAGCTTAACATGTTTATAAAGGGGGCCCGGATAAACGTTTTGCGGGCGGGCCCGCACTCATTTCATTAAAACTACTGGACCTAATGTGGATGTTACGTGCTAATTGTGACCGACTGCCGTTGTAATTTCATTGAAGACCATTGGTAGCAGCTTATACAAATAGGTTCGACACGTTACCTTGCCGTTTCCTGACTCTTCGGCAATTGCACGGGGTGCGTCCTGTGGGCAGACTTCGTTCCACATCGGAGTCGCGTTGCAGGCGGCCTCGGGATGGTGTTAATGCAGCGACTGATGAAGGACCAGTTCGCCTTGAGGAAATGGTCGCTCTGCAAAGTCCAGGCACGAACATTGGTCATGTTATTAGCGAGGCCCGAAAACGTGATTTCTCGTGGACGTAAATGTAGCTTCACGATGCGCACGTTTTGTTGAACTCTCCTTTTGTTCGTGATAGTAGGAGTAGAGATAAGAACGAGTTACTATTTTGTTAGCAATGTAGAAAAATCATACTTGCAATCCGTTTACCGATGCAAATATATTTTCTATAACTCAGAAACTAAAATGTATTTTTTCAGATTTTGCTAATCTTGCTCTTTCTGAAAATTTATTTTTATTTATTTATTTTAAACCTTTACTCATCTTTCAACTATTTATATTTAAAATGATGGAAGAGATTCTGGAACTCCAGGAAACGTGCCCATATAATCTCCCCCATACGTCGCATACAGGTTTTTCTTTAACTTAATAAATATAAATATTTCTAGCACATAATCCCGGACGCCCCTTGTACGCTTCCGGCCGTCACCCGACACTGGAGCAAATTGTCGTACTTGATCGCAATTGTATCATTGTACTGTGGATTCGCGCGCATACCGCCCAAATCATCATCCGACAAAAGATGCTGAGTTCACAATAACAAGAAAGAAACGCTAGAAAAACGATTTTTAGATAGCTGAGTCCCCCCTCGTCCTGGCCTTCATACGAGAGCAGCGTGGCTCAGTTGCCTTTCACCACTGAGGTTCTGGGTTCGATTCCCGTAGAATCCCCGTAGAATCTCTTGTGAAATTTGTTACGACAAAACGAGTTTGCATGCTTCACAGGGGCTAGTCCAACCCCTGTGAAGTGTCCTAAACCTCTATACCCCAATCGGCTAATGTCCCTGTCCGCATTCTGGCCGGCTGAGTAGTGACGCAGTGGGTGGCGTAGTAGTATAGGCGACTACGCGTGAGATGCTAATGGTCTGGATACGTGAGATTTTGTCGTTGACAACTGAGTTGCGCACGAGACGTGACGGATATGACATATTGAAAAGATAGTAGGTGGGGGATTAACTCCGAAAGGCGGCAGGAAGTGCTCAAGCTCCCCCGCCTCCCACCCCGGAGGCTGGAGACGCGATTGCGTCAATTAAACATTTGTTTTTTTAAATAAAGAAGGCAACGTCTCATTTGGGGGCTGGTCGGTAAAATTGTTCGTTCGCCTGACCCGGTTGCGGGGTGGTCTCTTCGTTAAAACAGTGGGCTTCCAGTAGGTTTTTGTGTTGGGGTTTTTTGACTCTTCTGCTCCCCGTTACAGCGACGGGGATCGGTAGACCGGTTCGTGGCGGAAGGGTAATTTATCTGTGGGAGAGAGGTTTTTTTTTATGGTTTAGGTATGACGGGGGAGAAGGGCAGCCACGGATGGGAGGGGATGGGTGGTGTGAGAGGGGAAGAGGTGGAAAAGGATGATAGGTCGGGGAGGCGGCGCCGAGTTTTGTTGTGCCGACGACATGTACAGGGCGTGGTCATTCGTTCTGTCAAATTCGTTTCGTTTAATTGTCGTGTGTTTGTTTTGCCCTCTGGCATCTTATTGGTTTGATTATGTCGTGTGTCTGGGCTCGTCGGCTGCTATGGTCGTTAGACCCGTCAGTTTTGTGTATGCATCACTGTAGACGAAAGAGATCTTACTCCATTGAATGGTGAGATGACGTGTAGAAGTGAAGTGAAGTGAAGTGCAGGCAGTGTGTGTGTATGTGTGGGTGTGTAAGTGGCGAATTTGGGACAAGGAAGGGAACGGAAAGATCGCGTGTGGTTCGTGAGGTTTGTTAGGTACTGCTTCGGCATTCACCTGGTGTTGTTCACGGAAACCTTGGAAAATTACCGATTACAGCTGGCGGGCTCTAGACAATGGCGGCTGAACTCTTAACTAGTTGTGTATCTACTGTCAAAAATCCTGCCATCAGCGAGACTCGAACCCTCGAACCTCCCAGTTAGAGGCACTGCGGTGACATCAATTGACGGCCATCTAGGGCAGTATGATAGTGTATCACTGGTTGTTCTCTTGTTTATTTCTGCACAGAGGAGCAAGGGGTTTGTTAGGTTGTGCTTTTGTGCATGACAAATTGCTTTGAAACATTGGAACATATGGTGTTTTGGCTACTGTGTGATTGCATCCATTTGTCAAGCATTGTTTCTCCATGGGTTACAATGTTTACAAGTATTTCCACTTGGCCATGAAACAGAAATAAAAATGTACGTCACAGATTACATTCCAAAACATCAACTACATACAAACAATGAATGAATAAAACAAAATTGGTGAAGTAAACATTTGTTTGACTTGTAGAATAACATAAATTAAATGTTTTACATGTTGGTTATATTTTGTCTTAGCAAGCTACAAATGTATAATAAATATAAACATCAGTTGTATTTATCTATACTAAAAAAAATGCCAGTAAAACTTCTGAGTTGGAAGAGATTTTGTTTCCTACTTTCAGACATTTTATACATGATGCATTCTCTCTCATACCTGACTCTACTTTTCATGGGACATAATGTTTTCATGAATTTGTCAGCTTCTTCTAATATTTCAACTGGAATATGTTCAATAATTTAATTTGCAATCATTGATTTGCAATCACTATGGTGATCATAATTACACAATGCAAGGCCACCAAAAAAAGATATTTTTCAAAATAAGACGACATCCAATGTTTCTCTTGAATGGTAAAAATGTGTGTGAATTTCTCAGAATATAAATTATTCTTTAATGGTAATGAAAAAATATTGAATTCAAGAATCTCGTGGTAAATAAGAAATCTTGCTCCTATGGTTGCTAATTTTCTTGAACTCGTTGACTTCTCTTGAATTCTAATACTACTTGAGCCGTTTTACCCTGTTTAATTCTCTCATTTTGTTATTTACTATAACAAGTCCTAAGCATTTCCAGATTAGAGGGGCTCTCTTAATGAACATAGGTTACATAAATAACTATTATAATGAACAAAAAGATTTGCAGTTTAATAATTTAGTATACAATATTTTTACATGTACTATGTGTCCCTTTGATTTTAAAAACTATTTGGGGAGCCCTGACAATGTGCTTAGTCTGGTAATGCTTTAATCCACCTTGCACTGGAAGTACTAAGAGAACACAATTTCTCGTGCATCATGAACTCCTTTTCTTTGATTATAATGTGTTCATAACTATGGAGTACTTTTGGTTAAGTATCAATAATGCATTCATTATCCCTAATTTAATTATTACTCTTATAATTGTACAAAATTATTAATGATTTTTTTTTCAGTGGTCTTGTGCTTCAAGATCTAACATTTGTTCATATCGGTAACAACGATCTTTTATTGGATGGATCCATTAATTTTTCAAAGAGATGGCAGCAATTCAACATTGTTGAAAATATGAAAAGATTTAAAAAAGGGTAAGATAAGCAAGAAAAGTGTGTTTTTGTTTTTTTTAATTTCATATGAGTAATAATTTTTTTCCTTTTATTCATAGAGCCTACCCATACAAGAAACATGAACGAATAATTGCATTTTTTAACAATTTTGATGAATTCCTGAGTGAAGAGGCAATGTGGCAGATATCAGAAAATATCAAACCAAGAGGAGGCAAGAAACCCCAATGAAGAACTCGAATTTGGGTTCAATCTTCATGTAAAGTTTTTCTCTGCCCAAGTTTTTCGAGGACTTTTTTACCTCCATTGTTGTGATGTTTGATTTCGTATTTGTTTATTTCTTAATCTTCTTTGATGGAATGCAATTTGAGGTAAGAGACAGATTTTCTGTTAATATTGCTGTTAATGTTTATCTATCACTGAAGATGAAGTCATTACTCTTATTCCTTAACAAGTTCCTTTTTTCAAGAAACTGAGAAAAGTCAGTCAAGCATATTTCCTAGATGTTTGGCTACTACATATCTTGTAAAAACCTTTCAAAAACCTGTTTTTAAAGATGTTTTTGTATTTTAGTCACTGATTCTGTGATGTACCATTCATTTGGAATCAGGCACTTAAAGACCTCATGAAACTCAAAACTGAAATTATCATAAGAAGGTGCAAGTTCACATGTAACCAAAACTACTTGCATCAATTTTCATGTACTTGCTCTCTTTTATGCAAGTGCTGTGTCATTTTTTGGAAAAGAAATAATGTGTGTACTCTTGAATCTCATTTAATTTGTGTTTCTGTTTGGCATTTTGGGTGTAAAAGGTGATGGATCATGAGCAACAAAGAAACTGTTATGTTACATATTTGTTTTAACTTTCAAACACATTCACTAATAATTTTCTCAAAGAGAATACAGGCAAAATATTTCTAAAGGATTAGATGCAAAATATTTTCAAATGCTTCTTCTGTTTTTGCTCAGTTAACAACATTTACACCAAAGTATTTTATGACAAGAAATTTGTTAACCTAATTGAAATGATCATAGACTAAACATGGGAAATTTTGACACTACAATCGAAGCCATATTTCTAAATAACAATGGCAATGGTAAATTCAAAAGCATTTAAAAGTATTGAATTCATGTCACTGTATAGTGAAGATCCATTATAAAATTGTATATTATTCGCTGTGACATTTGTTTTGCATCACAAATTATATAAATGATTGAGAATGACACAGCATGTTGTGCATAATAAGTTGTGATGGAGATGTTTCTCTATTATTGAAAGGAGTGATAACAATGATGGACTATCCCGTGGGATTTCAAGTATCAAATACGAGCTGTGCCCTATGGAGCACAATTTTTTTAAAAATATTTTTGTGCTATGTGATGATGACCCTTTGTGTCAGAACGCAGAAAGTAATTCAATGTTGAACACAAGATTTATTTTTGTGGAATAGGCCGCTATTGCACTGATCTTTCAAGTTTTATTTATTGGTATATTAAAATAATTCATTTTATTTTCTTAGACATATGTGCCATATTGTGCCATGCTTTAATATTATAGGGTGCTTGTTCTTTATAAAAGGTTGTGATGGAATATTCATGGATTTTTGGTGGCACATGAAGAACAAGGGATTCAGTATCTGATCACAAATATTTTATGATTATTAATTATTAATGATTATAAAAAGATTTTATTATTACCATTTAAAGTAAGAGAAATTTACAGGCTTAATTATCAAACAGTTAAGTATCATTCCACCATTTTCTCTTTCTCTTGTACATTTTCTTTGGGTTTTTGATTGCAAGATGTGTCTCAAAACCCAATAATGTAATTTAAGGCCTAATTACATGATGACATTAGATTGTGTTTGTACGTTATGTGGACACCTGAATAGAAAGTGCTATTTTGATATTGTGGAAAATGAATTCCTTTTTTGTGTACATGCTGTATATTGAATCAGTATTGCTATATTAAACTCACAGGTCATGATAAACATTAATCATTTAAGATAGTAAATATTTTTTATAAGTAAGTATATGAAAAAGCACTACTTTTTTTAAATTTTTTGCCATTATGCACAATGAATTCGTGCAACGAATATTTCCTATCTGTGGAGCACATTATTTTATTGAGAACATTCTTAATATATTCAACAAAGAGTTCTCTGTGAAGTCATACAACGCAATTCTCTACTTTGTAAGAGAAACAATAATACATCAAAATTTTATTACTTTTATTGTCATAGTAGATTTTTTGCCTCATTATAATTGCTTAATTTGTTATGAAAGTTACAAGTGTTTATAAATATTATATTTTACAAAAAGTTTTTCCTTCCATTTCTTTACTGCAGCTTTTATTTCATTTTGTATATACATTTATTTCGGATTAAAACTCACAATAACTGCATTGTATTTGTGACGTTGCCATTTATTTGTAAATAGATGTTTTTTATGTTTAATTTTAAGGTGAGAAAGTGATGCTAATTAAATTTGATGCCCATCAAATAATATACAGTTGTATATATAAATCTGTGAGGTGTATCAAATTCTGTGTATGTTGTTAAAAACTGTTTAACTGTTTTATGGGAAATGAAGGAAGATTGCAATAATTTGAATATATATTATATGATATATATCATATATACATAAGAATGCTGTGTGCCATAGAAAAACAGAAAGAATTCTAATGCAAATTCATTCTTGTGAATGGTCTCTTTTTGACCATCAGTATCTTCTCTGGTTTTATCAGAGGTAATAAAGAGATCTTGTCTGTCAGTTGAAATTGTCTACAAGCATATCATGAAACTAGTGATACAATGTCAGCTTATCGTGTTGTGATTGTGTGGAATGAGACCAACAATTAAACTATTGCTTGCATTGTTCTATATTGGAAACAATTTTATTACAATGTACAAATCTTTGCCGTGTATTGTATGTATATGTCTTATTTTTAAGTGTATGTATTTCATTTATTGTAAAAAATCTTCATATGTGTCATATCACTTCAAAGAAGCCTCCAAGCATTGTAACATTTTTCTGTGCTGGTAACCATAGAGTCTAAGCACATTTAACTAAACCCTACTAAGACATTTTCAAAAAAAGAAAAAAAAAGAATATTTTGTTGAGATAAAGACTGTTCAGTTTCTGTTTCCTAAATAAAAATGACTTTCCTCTTGAAATAAATGTATTACAAAAATATTTTTCAATTTCTGTGGGCCATAATAGTGTGTATGAAACAACTGTACTTTTATGGAATCATGCAGCTTGCCAATTGTAGTGTATAATTTTTAAGTAATTAGCAGTTTATTAGTCATTTTCTGCAACTTCAGCTACTGAGAATGTCTTTATGTGGGTTTTGTTATGTATGTTTATCATTTGTAGGATGTATTATTTCATCTATTATTAAATACGTTGTAGAATTTCTTAATATTCATGAAGGTGTGCGAGTGACCTCATGTTTGCATTTGAGAGAGCTTCTGTTGAAACAATGTGGATGAAAGTTTCACTTGTTAAGTTAAATCTAAGCACCAAAACCCAGCTGTGAAAGTTGTGCATGAAAGTCTTTCTGAGCCGTTTAACTTTAGGATCAAAATAATTAATGTAATTGTTCTTGAATGTAGGATGAATGACCAACATGAAAATTGTTAAAAAATAATTTCATAAAGAAATGATGCTTTTTCATATCATTAGAAACTGAAAATATTGGTTTCCTCAAAGAGCTGGATGAAAAATCTGTTTTCTGTTTTATTATATATTTTGCATAAAGCATGGTTGTTTTCATTTTGAGTTTCCATTAGTGTAAGGCATGGGTGATTTTGGCATGGTTGGTATCAAAATTGGAAAGGGTAATGAAATCATGTATGTTGATGCTGTTCCTAAGACAAATGATAAAAAGATACTTTTGCAAAATAACAATAATTCACAGTGTTGTCAGTTTATCCATTTTCTTGTCCAGCTCTTGAGTTTTTATTCAACTTATTTTTAAGAAATATTTGTGAATTATTTGAATAGTCAGATTTATAAGAACTGTCTTAGGTGGGCAAACCTTTAGAGAAATTTCTCTATATCTATCCCTTCAAATAGGTATTCTTTACATTTACGTTATTACAATGGACTCTTTTTAATTAAATCTCTGAGGGATATTAAAGCAAATTCAATGAAAACAAAACATTCTGTAATAAATGCAATTTAAATAAATTGATTTTACCGAATTAATTATTAAAACTAGCAGGTGCTTACTCAATAGTATTATGATATGTTACTGCTATCTGAGATGATAGGACTTCTCCTCAGTCCAAAAAAGGATAAAAGGAAAATTTAAAAGCAATAAACCTTTAAAATTTCTTGCATAGGAATTTCTGACACAAATTCATGAATACATATCTGGATAAATTTCATTAAAAGGGTTTTGTGATTTGTTTCCCCAGCTGTTGTTTTTCCGTTGATGGTTTAAACCAATTATTATTATCTATTTTTTTTTCCTCCTCCAAACAAAGTTTTATTTATTATTTTTTTTTTAAATTTAATTTGTAAAATCTAGTTATTGTATTGTTTGAGAGTAACCTTTAAAAATCGTAATAAACAATGTTTAACATTTGTTTAAACAGGAGAGGAAAATGTTACTCCAAATTATCCCATACAATAAATTTTATTTATACACAACAAATTAAATAGAGTCCAAGTATTTGAAACATATTTGGAGATTGATGTATAATTGTGATTATATTTATTTTTGTTTTGTTAGTGATGTACAGTGAACACATATGATGTTAGTTATGTAATGGAGAAAAGATAATGACAGTTGTGGGTAAGATACAATGTTACATCACATGCTTACATTTAGGGGATAGTTAAGTTCATTTAATTAATTTCCATTTTGCCATGAGATATTTCTTTTTATTCTTCTTTTTTTTCTCTCCAGTTCCATAAAGTTTTGTAGAAAATTATTGTAAGGATTGTGCTTGTGTACTTTTAGAATATATCTCTCTGTGTGAAAACCTATCTCGTTTGGAGATATTTTACTTTCATTTTTAAATGTAATATTTTATAGGATTTTGCTAGAGAACACATTGTGACAAATGTTTTCTCTTAAGTTACAATCCTAATCAAATGTTGAAATAAAATTTTTGTGTGTACAGCTAAAGCTTTGAAAATAATTCATACTTAGTAATGTAGATATACATATCTGTATATTGATTTCAGCTTGTTCGTATATGTGTGAAAGTTACCTCTGGGTAACTAAGTGAAATCTGTGGCAGCTGTTTGAAAGTGTGTGTTGTTTTGTGGTCTAATTCATACATTACATTGATGTGCAAGAGAGAAATGTATATTACTGGGCCTACTTGGAATGAAGATGTTCCTTGCGATTATGAGAATAGATTTTTGAATGTTGTGGTGTGTTTTCTTTAGTAGTTTAATTTCAGATTCATATATTTCTGAGAATACATGTGTGTGGTACAGATAGAAAAAGTACATCTCAATACTACTTTTTAAGTATTATAATTCCAAAAATACTTGTATTAATTATTTTGGCCCTCAGTGTCTTGAGTGTAGCTGAGCAAGTCATTTCAGTTTTGTCACAAATTGTAAATTTATATTTTGATAATTTATTAAAGCCAATATAATTTGTATTTACAATATTCTTTCAAACATCTATGTATATTTATGAGAAACATTTATTTAATTGAATGAATAGTATACATCATAATTTGTGTCCTTTTACAGACTGTATCTTGTTTGATAGTTTTAATTTTATGCTGTACAATACTGTAAAATATATTTTTATAATTGTCTTATTGTTGTGTAATTATAATTTTGTTATGAAGCTGTCTTTTGTAATGAGTGGAAAGTGAGAAATGAGTAAAATCAAAAATATAGATTGATTTAAAAAAAAAATTCTCGTGGGTTATATCAGATTTTTTTTCTCCTTAAAGTTCCCCTGTCTCCCATTTCATTCTATCATCATCGGTCTTGTTTCCCCACTGGATGGTGAGATCTGGCACTGACCTGCCATTGTCTAGCGGGGTTTTCCCCAACCAGGAATCCCCCACTGGAGTCTTACCGCCCCAGTCAAGACAAGCTCTAAGCTCCTGACCGGTCTCCCAGGGATGTATGGCAGTGTAGTGCATGCTAGGGTATGATAATGATATTTAAACAATCATCTAGTACTAGGAACTACTCAAGTAGTCCAATGAAACAGCATAAAATTCACATATACGTGTTACCAAGGTGAATAAATGGGGAAGATCCTCCTCTGGAATGGGTAATATTTTACCTCACACCATTTTGCAAAAAATGACCCAGAGGCAACAAAGATAATTGCAGAAAAATTGCAGTGATAATTTTGTAAAGAACCTCTGCAGTCAAGTAATGCAGAACAAAATTGAGTTGGAAATAAAAGAGAAAGGAGGAGAAGAGCAATGTGTTTTAGAGGTGGCAGATTGGTTATAGACAACATATTTAACTAAAAACAACCAATAGAGAAGAAAGTGAGAAAGAGAGATTCAAGTGGTCATTCATAAATCTGAAGAAAGCATAAGATAATGAATGTACCAGTATCAAGAGTTGGCAAGAAATGGACAATTTGAATATAAATAAGAATTTAATTGATACCACACAAATCTTTATAACAATAATACATCGCAATTTGCTCTCTGATCCATTCTGAGTGAGTAAAGGCTTACAGCAAGGCTGATGTCTGACCCCTAGACTTTTCAAAATATATGTAAATAGGATTTTACAGTGGTGTCAATGCAATTTTTTTCTATAGGATTGAAAATACAAGATAATAAATTGTCCCCTTTATATTTTGCAGATGATCAGGTAGTCATTGCTGGAAATGCTGACGATCGGGATTGCATGATATGTTAAGTTGTTTAATATTTTATTGACAAGTTGGCCTGACAATAAATATGGACAAAACTGAATACCTGGTAGTAGGTAATAATATTGAATTAGATCTCTCTTTACAAAATATGATGGAAAAGAAACCAATGCAATAAAAGGAACGTGATTCAATGAACTGCATGTTGTAGAATAAGAGCATTAATATCACTATCAAAAAAGGCTTCACTCTACCTTATCAGAAAGAGTTACAATTTCTGGGTCAGAAATATGAGAGGTAGGTGCAAAATCCAGATCAAAGCTGTTGACTTTACAGATAGGCTTTTTGTGTACATGCAGTGGATACTACTGACATGACAAACAAAATCTTTATTTTCCAAATGTTGAAAATTATGGAAATTAAATTGAAAAAATGATTACTTGAATTATACTGATAAAACTGAAAAGTTAATAAATAAAGTTATTAAATCCTTTAGGAAATTGATGAATTATGTAAGATGCTCCAGGGATTTATCGAATGAGCTCATACACATCACAATATTGCTAATTTACTTCCTGATAATTATGAAGCAGTTTATACTCTAAATTCTACAAATATTACTGTCAATAATGAATTTAAGAACTCTATTGTGAATTTGGGAAATGTAAGAGTAGCACAATTTGATATTTATTCAACAATTAACAAATTAAATGTAAATTTAGTTTCAATACTTCATTTTAATCATCACCATCATCATCATTATCATGAACTGTAGGCTTGTGGGTATGATCCTGTTCCTGTTTGTGCTGATTGAGTAGACCTAGTAAGATTAATCTTCTAGGTGCTCCTGATTTTTCCATCTCTTTAAAGGTCTTCCAATGTCTCTGTTTGCAATTGGTTTATATTCCCAGATGATTTTTGGTAGTCTGTTACTCTCCATCCTGTAAATGTGTTCTTTCCTTCTCTTTTGTGATTCTTCAATCTCTTCTATTAGATTTTTTTAATTTTCTTCCGATGTCCTTGTTTCTCAACCTATCTCTTCTTGTGTATCCTAAGAGGTGCCTCAGGAATGTCATTTGTGCTGGCTGTATTTTCTGCTTGTAGTTTTCCTTCATAATCCATGTTTCTGAACCATATAGAAGCATTGGTTTAGCAGTGATATTATGAAGTTTCAATTTTGTGATAGAATCCATATCCTTCCCAAAGTGTCTTTTAATGGTTTTAATTCTCTAGATCTTATGTAGTTTTCTCTCGATGTTTACTTGAATGTGGTTTATATCAATTCTGTTTCCTAGGTAAGTGAATTCTCTCACTTGGCCTACAATTTCCCCATTTATTTCAATTTTAACTCTTCTTTGTTCCTTTCCTTGCATTGCCATGGATATTGTTTTGCTTAATGATATTCTCTTGGAATATTCCTCTGTAACTTGTGTTAGTTCAAAAATTGCCTTCTATAAGTTCTCGGTAAGTTGATATTACCTAGTCATTTGTGTACAGGATTGTGTCAATCTTTCTATCTCCTTTGATTAAAATTTCCTGGTTCATATTCATCTGCCAATTCCTTATTAAGTGGTTAATATAGAGGTTGAAGAGAACCAGTGAAAAATCACAACCCTGTCTGAGGCCACTGCTAGTTGTCATTGATGTTGAGTTTCTCTCCTTTCCTAGCTGTACTTTTATTCTGAATTTCTCCTAAAGGCTTTATACTGCTTTAATTAATAATTAATTTCCTCTCTTCCCATATTTCTCATAATTTCTTCCTATCAATCTGTTATATTTCACAATTCATAGTCCACAAATATTATAAATGTTGGTAGATTTATTTCTTTTCTTTTATCCATGAACATTTGTAATGTGAAGATGGCATCTTTGGTGCTCCTTCCCTTTCTGAAGCTACACTGTTCTTCACCCAGAAATTTCTCACTAAAGTCATTGATTCTGTTCCTTAAGATATTTGCATAAATCTTTTAAGTTATTGATAGTAATGATATGAGACAGAAATGAGAGTACTTAATTTTCTTTTTACTAAATCTCTGAATGAAGATGTATTTCTGGTCACATGGACATGAAATTGCATTTCTCCCATTCCCAAATCAGATAAGCATACAAATATCAAAAATTATTATTTGCAATATGTTTCCACAAAAGCAAATATATAACTTGGCTACACTAAAAGGATTACCATGAATTTTTCAAATGTACAAACACTTAGGATATTCTTTTAGTTTCGTTCTTTATTTCTACATGCTTTTTAAATTAAGTTACTCATTGTAACTATCTGATATCTATTCAATTCAAAATTTCAAACTATGAGCTTGGCAACTTGAATTGGCTTTGCCAACAGTATATCATAATTACAGTGTTTTAAATAACATTGACTACAATTATTTGCTATCAAATATTAATTGGCTGGTTCTCTCTCGTGATTTGAAGGTATTGAATCAAATGCCTTTTACAATTCTAACTGCTTCAACAAATTTATATCATTCACCACATAACTGCTTGAAGAGATAAGCAAATAAATATAACATTGATTCAACAATGTCAAAACATCAATTTATAAGAAAAATAAAGGTGAAATTTTACAATAATTTTACTTGAAAACAGAAAACTATGTAAATTATGTGATTATGTGTATTAGATTTTGTTTTTCTTTTCTGTACAGTTGTGTATTGATTGTGATGTAATTGTGGGTTTAAATGAATAAATGAAATGTAAATGAATGAATAATAATAACCAGATATTACTGCTGAAAAGAAAAAAGTTCAAATAAACAGGAGGAAGTTATTTCTACACTATTAATGTTAAAAATAATGTGATGATTTCTCATAACAATCAACAGAGTGGGTGGTACATAAATGTGGATTGTTACAATATTTCACTATTTTATTTCTATGGAATTTCCTTACCTTTCGAAATGTATAACATTTCAAATAATAGAATTGTACATCACAAGAATAGTGTTAGGCATATCAAAGTCAGCATGTGAATGTTTAATTACCTACAGCAGGTTATATATCCTCATCTACACAAATAGCTATCAGAGATAAGCTATGAAGCTCTTTTCTAGCATGATGTATTCATCATTTGAATTTGAAGAAGAAATATTTAACTTTGCAACTTTATCAAGTAGAGAAAAATGATCTACTAAGCATGTAATGTCACTAAATAGCAGAGATGTTTCTCTAGAAATAGATGTAGACATGAAGATAATTGCAAGTAAAAATAATGAATTTTGTAAGTTAATATCAACACAATTTAATCAATTGCGAAAATAAACAGAAATTAATTTTTAACACTCATTGCAAACAAACCACAATTTCTGAAAACCTATAAAAATGGTGAATATCAGAAAACTCCTTGATAAATCAACATGAGACCACCAACAAAAGAGCCTGCAGAATGAGCTACTTGTGCCAAAAGGAAATGCACTCCTGATTACATTTCTAAATTTCAGCCCAAAATTTGTAAAATTTACAAAAAACATCACAAATCTCTTTAAGAAACCAAACTGTAAGTACATAATATTAATAGTTACAATATTATTAACCAGTGTATATAATTTCTTATTTTATAATTTATTTTCTTCCTCTGTTAAAGTTGAATTGCTTACGTCTTGATTTAGCATCTACTATTATTTGAGCTTGTCGCTTTAGATAACTTCTTGATGGGACATCTTCTTCCTCATCTGTTTCTGATACAGGCAAAAGTCCAACTGTTTTGCCCTCTGCCGGTTTTGCTGGGGCAGGTAACATCCAGGCTTCTTCTGCCTCCTTCTTCAAAGAAGGTATTTCCTGCGCAATTATTACAATTGTGTAAACAATGTGCCATTTACATATTATTGGTAGTCAATCGTTACTTTTTTTTCTCCAATAATCTACTTTCTTTGGATCGTTTTAACTAAGTATTTTGTATAGCTTAAAAAAATAGTTATCTCCACGTGCTCGGAAGGATGTCTATGGGATTGGATTTCTGCACTGGGGATTAGTGGAATTAATATGGACTTTCAAAGCCACTGAAATCCACATCACATTATGTTGATCTAAAAAACATCTAAAAAAGTTAGCTGAATTTGCCAGTCCACTGTTCTAGATTATCAGGAACTAAAAATAATTGCAAGGTAATCTAGTCATTAGTCAAATATCTCACCAACTAGTTACTGTTAATAGATTAGAAATTTTCAGGATGCTAAAAAGAAAAACATTTTCTGAAAATTATATTTTACTTATATGTATAATATTAGAGAAATAACATATCTTCCTTGGTATGGTAAGGTGGAATTTTGGTGTAAGTATGGTAAAGTTTGTTTATTTGCTTTCATTCCTTCCTTTCTTTTTTGTTTGTTTCTTTCTCTCCTTTCTTTCATACATTCATTCTTTCCTCTCTCTCCTCACTCTCTTTTTCTCTCTCTCTCCCTCCTCTCTCTCTCTCTCTCTCTCTCTCTCTCTCTCTCTCTCTCTCCCTCTCCTCTCTCTACTTTGAAATTAAATACATTTTGTATCATCTAATGGTAAAAATATAATCTTCAAAAGTAATTAAATATATTCTTCTAAATTTTTTATTTCAGTCAAAGTTGTAATGCAATGTAATAATGTAGTTGTAATGTAAGCCAATCCAGAATGCTGAAATGTGCACTTTTTGAGCACCAGCCTTTTAGAAACAACCCATGAGGCAATGTTCACTCCATATCAATTCAGGCTATTTAGAGGTTTCAAGCAAAGGCAGCCTTTTTAACAGATTCTATGGACTCTGTATTATTTGTTATTATCTCCAGGTTCCACTAATTATTTTCAATTTTTTTATATTATTACACATCGGAAAGATTTAAAATTATATTTCATTATATTTCATAAGTATTATATCAACATCATCGTTAAATAACAGTATTATGACAAAACTTCCATACCTAATTTTAAAAAAATTAACAGTTAACTAAACAAATGAAGCAAACCCACTAAAAAGGATATTTCAGAGAAAAAGAGCTCAAATGCAGAGGACATGTAGAGGGAATCAGATTTTGCAGTAAGGGAAGGGAAGCACATTTTGTCTGTAATTGTTTTGCCTCTCTGCCAGTCAGATTTTGCCCCTCTGCTACGTTGGCATCCAAATGCACATTGCGTCATACAGATAGCTACTAAAAATCATGGTTTAGCATTACATTATATATATATAATTAATCACTCTATATTTAAATTAAGAACTTTGGTATTGAATTGAATAAGAAGCTGAAATAATTATAAGCTTTATTTTTCAGCATCTCTATTGCTATTTTCTCTTTGGACACACTTTGGCAACCCCAATTGCAATGTTAATAATTGTAAGTCATCTCTTAACCCAACAACTCAAGTATAATTTGGTATACCAATTTCATGCTGGGAAAGACTGTACTATGATACACTCCAAACTATTACAATAGTAAGTACTGAAGAAACAAAAGACATCTATATCATCTTGCATCTTATCTTACCTTAGCTTCTTCTGCATTTTCATTCTCTTTACACAGGCTAATATATACAAGTGTGCTACTTAATTTTTGTTCCAGAAGTTTTATATATTCATTTCCAGCTTTCGGATCATTTGTTTTATTCGGTACAGGTGTACTATCCATTCGCTGAAAATAAAATGAATAAATTGTTGTCAAAATAATGTATCAAATTGAATCTTTACCATGTGATTCCACAAATTTCCACTTCATGAACATATTGACAAAAAATCACTTCAGATTAGCCATCTCATAACTCTATCTTATGGTGAGGATTATGGTGAATCTAACGTTGATTGCCCTCTAAATAGTGAGTTTAATATTCAGTTTTCTTTTGAATAAATAACGTGAAAAAAAATATATATTTGATATTAACATTATGTATTATACTGACATGATTAAAATAATAAATGAAATAGTAACACAAAAGTGAGAAGCGATTGCTTTTCCAAATTGTTCTTCCTTTTTCCCTTGCCTTTCCATCGTGTAAGCATATCATAATTTTTAATTATTTTTTAAAAATAACAAAGTCTTTAACTTATTTATGTCTAGTCAATTTAAGTAGTAAAGACCAATAATGAAAAATAATGAAAGAGTAACAAAGTAAAGGAAGAACAAAGCATGATGGGAGTGTTAATAATAATGTTAGAGTTGCCATTATCATAATTATTAACAAAATGTTAATGAAATTAAGAAAACATAGTTTTAAAAAAATATTTTATTTATAGTACTACTATTTAATTAATACATTACTTTCAATTTATATACTTATTTTCTAAAAATTTAAACAATAATCTCTAAACAATCTTTTTATTGATCTTCTAACTATTTTTACTAATCTAGAAGAGCCAAAAATAGTTCAAATTTTGAATGGTGGTAATTGTATTCAAGTAAATTAAAAACTTTATAATATTTTGAAATATATTTATTATTTTTTTAAATATTTTTTAATGCTCTCCTTTTTTAATCTAGGGGCCATGGCTCCCATGATCCCCTTCAGAGCAATTGTTGACCCTTAAAATACCATCAGATTGCAAAAACCTTATCCCAATCAACCACCCCGCAAAAGAGAATCAGATTTCAATACACATTTGAGAGTGAAAACCTTGGAATTAAGTGAAATTAGCCTTGATATGAATGATTACATATGATATGATAGATTACCAGATTACCTCAAGCTTCTTGCAAATGTCATATAGAATATTACATATTTTTAAAAGTGTAATGACAGTGTTCTGATTTTCCACTTCTGCTCTTTCTCTTTTACTTTTCTGTTCTTGTAATTGAGTCTTGACTTTGTCAACTTCTTCCATATTTCTGCAAAAATTGAAATCAGATATATTAAAGAAGAATTCTACAATATCAAAAACTAATATACCACATGAAAAATCATAAAATTCCACAAAATGTTATAAGACAAAGACCCTCACTGTTCTTTGTCTTTACTTGCTGCAAATTTGAATGCTTCCAACTCATCAACCATGAAATCTTTCTTCATTTCCAAATCCTTTTTTTCTTTTTCTGTAATGGTTCTTAAATATGCTAAGCGAGACATTGTTTCACGTTGAGAAAGAAATCTTTGTAGAACTTCATCTATTTCAGTCTCTCCTGAAATTATTGTTACCATTTGTGTCATTATTATAGTTACAGGAATGTGTATACTTATCATGGATACATTATGTGTATACTAAGCAGTCAATTGTTAACAACCTACCAGTGGCTTCCTTAAGTTTATTAAATGCAGCTTCTAACATGCTTGTTGTTTTTGCTGTGGCAGATTCTTCAGCCATAGATTGTGTTACTTCTGAAGAGCTAGCTGAATCTTGGTGAACGAGAGCTCGAGCAGATGGAAAAATCCGCCTTTCAAGACGTTCTAGCTCGTGCTTACGGTCTTCTACTCGTGCTCTGTATTCCATTTTAAATATCATTAAGACAATATAAATAAGGGAAAGTAACAAATTAAAAGAAGAGTTATAATGTTCAATTTCAATAGTATGATAAAAAAAATCCCTTAATTTAATTTTATGCATTTGTTTAATGAAAGAAACAGAGAAACTATTTTATCTTTTTTGATAAATTCAAACTTATGCATATGTCTAATTTATTTGTTTATTTAAACACCTGGGTAACAGTATTTTTTTTTCTCAGAAGTGTGAAAAATATATCATACTTTGCCAACCATTTGTTAATGCTTCAAAAAATTGCTAACCTAAATTCCACCAACTGTCTGTCTCGGTTTTTACCAGCATTTAGAGCCATTATTTCTTGTTTCATTAGAGTACCTTTCGTCATATCTCGTAATTCAAGAGCTTCTTTATGAATACCCTGAAATCATTATATAACTAGAAGACCTGAAATTTCATTACTTACATACTTAGAAGATGATATTGATTTTAGATGGTTAACTACATATTGAAAAATTTAAAAGAAGATATGATGAATTAAATCTAAAGAGTACTTAAGAGTCCAAACAATCTACCTGAAGATGCTGAATTTCTTTTTCTTGCTTTTGAATATCTCCTTCAAGTTTCAAAAGAGAACTCTCAAAATGAACACTATCTTCTAGCAAGCTACTTCTAATTGAGCAATATTTCTTTTTTATGTGTTCTGCCTCCATCATGTTCATTTCAACTCTATGAATTTGATTTTCCAAGGTACATATACGCTGAAAAATTATATTTGAATAGTTTTTTAACACAAATTTATTTCTAACTAAATGTAAAATATTATATACCATATTGTATTCTTATTTATTACAGACAACAAAAGTACTCATTTCTTATACACATATTGTTACATTTGGAGTTTGCACTCATCACATTTTCACAAATTTTTGAACATATAATTTGCATGCTTCATCAGGGTCAATTAATATCTTGGTCGATAAAAGCCATGAGTGCATAAAATAATGTATTCTAATTTAACATTGTAAAATCATAAATATAAAATTATAAATCATTAAAAAAAACATTAGTCCATTAAGTACAGGCAAGTCAACATTGTGATTATAAGATAGAAAAAAAACACTTCACCATCATTAGAACAAGTGCAATGAAAGGAGAATTCATTTGTAGAATATAATTTATTCTAATCTATTTTGATTATAACTCTATACTAATAAATGAGAATACCATATGATATAACATATGGAAGACAGTTAGTGACATAACAAGATTCTAAATACTAAAATATTGTACTACAGTAACATTAATTGCAATTATTTAGGTCCTCCTTGAATAATTATTATTATTATGCCATGACAATGATGATGTATGTATTAAATTTTTTAAGTGCATGTAATGATTTATATTACGTGTAACTGTGTGTACATATTTACCCAAATATAAGATTTATAATATACAACCCCCTAATTTTGAAGAACCTTGTGATAATATTAAAAATTTTCAACTAGTTCTTACTATTAGTCAAAATAAATTTGTAAATTGTCTAGGTATCTCAAAAATTGTGTTGATGAGAATGTTAAAACTTATTGCCTGAGCCATCATATTTTCTTGTTCCTTATCATACTCATGATTTTTGTAACTACCCTCTTCACCTTCACATAAATCATTGTTTCTTCCTTTTTGGTCGTCCCATACTGTGTCGTCTCAGATTTTCTCGGTGCCTCTGAAAGTTTTGCATGTTGAATTTGCATTCTTAATCTTTCATCTGACGCCATCTAAGAACATTCCCTTCTGGGTTACCAGAGTTTCTTCTGCTCTTGTTAGTGGTCTCTTATTCTTTTAGAGTTCTTTCACATTCTTTAACAGAAAATACGTGAAATTCACGTTGTGTAATGTTCATGTGAGCAAGTTGTAAACTGCAAAATCATACATCTATGTTCCTCTGTGTCACAGGTAATGTGAAGAATGTTTTCAAGTTTGGAATCATAGTTTAGCTATCATAGGAAAATATTTATGGCACATGCCAAGGGGCCGTGGCCTTGGGTCTCTACTTCTTGGGAGGCCCCCAAGGTTTGATAAAATTAATTTTCTATTTTATTATTTGAATTTTGTTCACCACTGTTTCATGATCAACTGCATTGTTGGATCCAGGGGGGGGGGCATGGGGGCTTGCCTCTCCCCCAGGCCGTTTGCATTCCTTTATTTGGCAAAATTGATTTAAATATTTATTTATGTTCAGATTATGTCATTATTTAAACAATAATATTGATAGTATCATATCTACAATATCCAATGAATAATATCCAATGTAATAACAAATATGCTTAATATTTAACAAATATTTACAATCACACACACACCCTCCCCCCAAAAAATTTTATTAGCTGGATCCACCTTTGACCAATTGTACGGATGAGTGCTCTTTATGAATATTGAAATATATGTATAAGAAATGATCACAGAAGTACCATGAGTCAAGAAAGGTAAAATTGCTTGTCTATTAAAAGCATATAAAATTATGTATTAAATGCTATTGTCTTTTCAAAATTTAATTAATGATTTTGCCAAACGTAAAGCACAAAAAGTAGCATTGTAAAATGTACATTAAATGTAAAGTATAATGATTTATGTAATAATAATATTACAAAAATGTAAAATGCATTATATTACTTGTAATATTTTGCTACAATACATTTTTTTATAATTAAAATACTTGAAATTTATATTCATGTAGAAACAGGGGGTCCCGATCAGTCCGGCCCCGGCGCGGCCTCAGGACCTCCTAGACCTAAACACGGCATTCACCGGGAGACGAACCGAGAGTGCGCGCGGCCTCGTCAAATGCATCCAGTAACCATCTTGGCAACGGATTTTATTCATTTTTATATTGCATTATTTTATACTGTATCAATACTGTGCCATTAGTTTGAGATTCTCTCTTTACCGTCCCATTCCAAAAATATAAATTTGAATCGCCCAACAAATCCGCGAATGAATACGTCTGCGAATACAATTACGTTATGAGCGTGATATTTTTATTGTCTTGACCGCTTTTTGTTTCGTCAACAATTACGAGTTTCGTGACGAGAAAAGCAATGGAAAAACATCAATCCTAACAAATTAGACTTAAAATCTGTGAATGTAAGACTTACCCGCATTTTTCGAATGAGATATTTAGGAAACATCTCGATTTATATTCGGGTAAATACGGTATTTAATGTCTTTCCCTTGCTACAATAGGCCATTGTTAGTAGGTATATAATATAACGAAACAACTGAACAAGGATTAATTTTTTAACACAACTTGTCTTAAAATTAGAAAGATAGTATATACCTGTGTAGTTTGAGCTTCAGACTTCTTTTTAGCTTGCTCATTAGCAATTTTTGATGTAAGTTGCTTATATTCATCAGTAAGCTTCTTAAGTTTTTCTTGTTGCTGTAAAAATTACTCATATTCAATTTAAAGAAAATGTAAATATATTTCAAATAAAATATATTCACATATTTTGTTTCCAAACCTTCTTTGATTGGTATTTTAAAAGATCTAACTTCTTTTGTTTGTCTACATTTTTGTAGTCAATAATAACAGCAACCTCTTCATTACGCTTGTTCCGTAGTGCATTTACATCTTTGACAGACTGATTTTGAACTCTTAATGTGGTTTCATCAAACTAAATAAAATCATACAAATACAGATGATTTGTTAAAAATATTTCTTAAAATTTAGTTAGAAATTTCAAACATTTTCAGTTTTCTTAAATACATATAATTATCAATATGATCATACCTTTCCAGGCTTTCTCAACTGAAGATATAATTCCTTAATTTCCTTTTTAAGTTGTCTTACTTTTTCTGAGTTGCGCTTTTTTTCTGCATCACTTTCTTCATAATGAGCCTTCCTTTGACCCTCTAGTAAGTTAATTTTAACAATGAGCAAAATGAAATTAATGAATAATGAGCAGAGAAATTTAATATAGTTTCATAAATTTTGCAAGCATGCAATTAATACCAACAGGATGTATGTTTCATAGCTTAGTCAACCAATGAAGCTAATTTGGTTCTCACTAGAGTAATAAAAAAATGATACTGCATTGTAATTTTTTTCTATGACTTATCAAAAAATACAATCTTTATATGTAATGTATCTCTGAAAAACATAACTACATAATCACTGGCTTATCCGAGGGGGGGTGGCATGCCCCCTCCCCCCACCAAGACCAAGAGGTTTTGTTTTTCTTTCATTTAGCAAAATTGATTTAAATATTTATTTATGTTTGAATTATGTAATTATTTGAACAATAGCATTGTACAGTATCATATTGAGAGTATATAAATAATATACAATATAATAACAAATATGTTTATTATTTAACAAAAGTCTATGATGGCCCTCTTCAAAATGATCGGCTGGATCCGCCCCTGTATATATTTGATATGAACCTATTTTGTGTGACGAAGTTTTGGGGTTGTCCATAAATTACATAACATAAAGAAGTGGGAGGTGGTTTTTAACAGCGTTATGCTGTGTTATGTAGGGTAGGGGGATCATAGTTTAGTATTACTTAATACTGATACTTATTTTTAAAATTTTCTACGTTTGCTGAAATAATTACTTTTATTCAGTCTTAAACCAAAATATTAAAAAATTAAATTTAAAAATTTAAATAAATTAAAAAGTTATAATATATAAATTGTTATAATAAATGGAAATGTTTTTTCATTTATGGAATGGTGTATTGTTATTGGAACTGTTAGGTTATGAAGAAAATATTCAAAACTTATCTATATTTTATACAAAGCAATTAAATTGTAGAAATAAATGCGGGGTACATACATTATCCATGACAACATGTGCATAGCTTGTTGTCAGAAATTTTCATACCTATACGCTCTTTGTACATTCACAAATTGTCCCCTAACAATCATATTGTTAGCTGCGGTACCCATCACCAACAAATTCCAACTTAAATTGTTACATTTTTTAAAACAAATGAAATTAACACTATAAATACTGCTGTATAATTTATTTTTATTTCTTGTATGTGGGTGTGTGCGGGGGAGGGTGTTTCATAATTATTTAGAGGGGTTCTAGTACATGTTACAGAGGGGATAGAGGAGTATTCAAATACTCTTAAATTTGCGTTAGTTAATTTATGGATGCCCCCTTATGGTTTTAACATATTACCATTACAAAACGTTACAGATCAAATCATTACAATTGTAACTAATTTTCACCAAATCCTTAATTTTTGAACAGAGAAATAAATTGCTATAATTTTGGTATTGAATTTGCTGGTAATTGTAATGAATGTGGTAGCTTATTACCCAAGTTCTACCTTTTGTAGTATGGGATACAGGGGACTTTTGATTTTTTAATGATATGTAGAAGGTCTAAATTTGTAGTATCATGAAAATGCTGGGTTGTTAGGAAAACCTGTAAGATTTTCTTTTATGTCTCTACTATATATTATGTATCAATATTTAATTCATTAAACAAATGCAATGAGTTTTTCCATGAGCTGAGTATTATGTTGAAAACAGTTGATTTATGTGCAATTACTAGTTGTATAATACTTTATTTAAATTGTTCTTCAGTTGTCTTATCTAGTAACTTAGTTTTGATCTGAAGTGTGTACAAAGAATACCATTTTTAAGCAGTGTGTCACATGAAGGAGCCAAAATTTTGAAATCAAACATAAGTTTGCTGAATGTTTGACATAGGTCTTTGGTGTGATCATTTGGAGAGAGTCGTCAGTGATAAATCTTAATAGAATCTGGTGCTAATGACTTCATTTAGTTGGGGATTAGACATGTTTTGAAGTTGCTTCCTAAATATGTCTGTTAGCATAAATTGAATTTCATTAGCTATTTGCTAATACAAGGTGCAAATAATATGTTCTTCCTTAATAACTTGTGATAGTTTGTTTATAAATAATAGAAACAGTGTGGAACAGAGAACACTTCCTGGTGGAACTCTAATGTTGTTACAGCCTAGATGTGAGTGATGTTTCATGATGGTGTTGTTACATCAGGTATTTATTAATGTATGTACATAATTGCATTTTAGGGTGGTATTAATTCAATTTTTGTCCATTAGCAGCGTTCCTAGACCTGAGCCCTGCTTTTATTTATTATCCACTCCTGAGGATCAGGAAGGCATGTGGTGATCATGGCGTATTTCCTTCACCATATATTATAACATTCTTGGCCGGCCTGAGCTCTTCCTTCATCACCAGCTACAGAAACTGAGACAATTGTATTAGAAAGCAACAACTATTTTTGCCTTGACCAGGAATCAAACTTATGATCGCACCACAGAAAGCTAACATGCTGTCCATAAGGGTGGAGGGCATAAGTATTAATAATCTAGGTATTATAAAGTACGAAAGGAACCTAGAGTTGGCACTTACCCTTGACTTTAATACTTCTGAATATATTTAGTAACATGTTACACTCCAACATGTCAATGCTTTTGTGACATCACAGAAAATGCAGATTTCAAGTTATTACTGAATGCTTTTATAATAATGTTACAACTTTTGTCAATGGATTTAGTGTTCTTTTTGTTCTTGGAAACCAAATTGTTGTTTAATATTGAGCATTTGTTTAGGAATTTCAGTGGCCTGTTTTTAGTTAGCAATGAACAATTACTAGGTAATGACATCTTAATAATGAATTCATTAAAGAAATTAATTCAGTCTTTGATCCTTCTATGCTCAAGTCTCTCAAAATCTTTTCACTTAGCCAACCGTTTCATTGAAATTATACATTAATTTTAATACTAATGGAGAACATAATAACATTGTACTTTCACTGCATCTATTAAGTTTGAAAACTGCAAAGAAGTTTGTTTGATTTTCCTAGGAAATAAATATTTTTAACAATATTTTTATATTATTTCTCTGGACAGTTAGTCACACAGATAATAATCAGTATATTACAATATAATGTTCAATAGGCTGTGTTACAATATATTTTTGTTGTTAACAACAACATGGGCAACCTACACTTCTTCCGCTTCTAATTTTAAAACAATTTTTCTTGTTTATTGAATTACAATGAAAATTGTATGAAATAATTGAAAGCTGACTGTTTTAAAATGTTCTCTCTGGAGAAGGCACAAATTTGCTATTCAAATTACAGTCTTATTTTCAGTTATTTTAAAACAATTCACAGATACAACTGGCAGTAATTGAGGATTTATCATTCATATTTCACTATGAATATTCCCAAAGAAAATATCTCCAAATATTTAAGTGTTTGTTACTTTATCATTTCTATTGGTTACATTCAATCCATTCCATTTAGAAAAGACCTTACAAAATTTAGGGTTGAACTTCAGAAATATTTGCATGAAATATTTACATGAAGATGTAAAATTAATTTGCCTCATACAGAAACAAGAAAGAACATGGTAACAGATAAAGTCTTCCTTGAGTTTTAACAGAAGTTAACTAGAGTTAACAGTAGTTAAAGGTCTCAAGTGAGACATTCTTTTTAATAATTACGTCATAAAAGCCTATGTTAAGTAGATTTGTTACCTGACAACTGTATTTTTTTCTTGATTTCTAATATTTTTTTGTTAATTATCGATAAGTCTTTTTCACTGTTATTTTTCTGCTCAGAAGACATTATATAAGGTATTAATATGAATGAAATCTCTTCTCACGTCTATGTAATACGTAAGACCCGTATTTCAGCGAGGGAACGTCAAAGTGGGGTTGCCATAGAAACGGCACTAGTAAATATTTGATAGGTGCTCCTGTCGACAATAATTATAATTATCTCGAAGACAAGCATCTTTCACTACGTAAAACTTTCGGATTTCGATTTCCTTTCGGTTCTACTGCTATTAAACTCGCAGTCTGCTACAAATTCAGAGAAAATGCGGTTGTTATTGACTCTCTTATTGTGACACTCAAGAGATCAACTTACATTATTAGTGATCCTCCAAATGTTTCTGGAGAATGAATGCATCCTCAAACATAGCCTTTCAAACTCCCGCTGCTAATTATTACTTTGAAGAAGACAATGCTTTAAAAAGTTCGATGAATAGGGCTTTAATTTCGTTTATAGTTCAGTCGGTAAGGATATTTTACCTGGAGAAAGGTCACCAAAACTTCTCTTTGGGTATGTTCTATGTCCCAGGCACTTATTAAAACTCCGAGACCTTGAGTAACTCCAGGAGGTCCGAAAAACTTTTTTCGGATTTTCCTATATGTCCCTTTAACCTTAGGTCATGTAGAAAAGGGATTCAGATCAATTTTAAATATGATAAAATGTTCTGTAACTTTTGTATAAAGTATTCTTTCGAAACGAATTTCCTAGTTGCAGCTATTCAAAAATTGCATTTTTTTTTTTTCATTTCTCCATAATGTCTGTAAAAATACAAATATTTGTGGTATTATAATCAACGTATAATATAATTATTATTACATGTAATGCTATTATGTATCTCACCGTCGGTGTAAACATTGCCCCACAAATGTAACCATTGCCAAAAATATTAATAAAACTAGTGGTGCTACAGAATGGCATCGACTTTCCCGATTTAGTTTTCTATTTCCTTTGGACTCGGCTAGCTATACGAACTTACCACATACTCTTGCCAGCTACCATCTATCGACGCCCAAAGTACATGTTTTGACAATATCTCAATTTTTTGATTTCCTAATAGTATAACGGAAATATTATTTTAAAAATATTAATTAACAGTAAAACCCCGTCCAAAATTGCAATTTTCTTTGAAAAATTTGCTGCCGTTTATAAGAAAATTGCGCTTAAGCGCTACCGTAAATTCGAAATTTAAAGCACTTTTTCACAGAAAATATTTGAGTTTTCGACAACCTTAATTTGAAGTCATTTGAAGCACATTAACTCACAGGAAATATGCATATTAGCAGCGTGAGGGATCTTTGAAAAAAATATATTTGTGTAATTTTTGGGGAAAAAAAGGCAATACTCTGAAATGAACTTTACTTCATATTAAAGAGTGCAGTAATATTAGTATTTTCCGTTCGGAAAGTTCTCAAATTTTAGATTTTAAGGCCCTAGAACGCTTCGTTTAGGAGTTATTCAACCAAATAATTTTTAATCCTGCTGCGCGAGTGTTGCATGTTGCATTTGACATGAATAGTTGGATGCAGTTTTTCTACAAATCCTTCATGTTTCTAAAGTCAAAGTGAAAATCGTCACATCTCCGTGAAGTTCTCTTTATTTAGAGACCTCATTTATGAAGATCCGTTGTGACTGCGCAAAACGATCTTTGCTCAACGATCAAAACTTGTCTTGGGAGTTGTTACAAAGGAGAGGGGGTAGAAAAGCCAATTTCTCCATACGTATTATTTAAACGATTCCTTATTGTACTTTTGCAATGTTAATTTTTTTGCAATTTTCGAAAATACACGTTTACCGAGCGTTTATCGACAACGGGACCAGCACCAAATCCTTTCTCCTGTTTTGCAACATACAAGGAAAAAAATAAAAAAAATTGAGGAATTTTTGAGAATTTTTTTATAATTTACATTAACTGATTAACAAACAGCAACAAATTGCGCTAAAACTAGCTCTATTCGGTTTTCAAAAAAAAGTACATGATCTTCATTACAGGTCTAATATATACAATAAAGTTTATTTTAGACGAAAATCTCATCTTCAATTTTGTACTTTTGCAATGTTTAGGTTTGGGCAAAATACTTTAAATGTAGTATTTAATGTAATGGGTTCCCCGTTTGAACTGGGTTTGTATTTTTTTATAACACACGTAATAGTATTTTATAAATTATTTTATTTTATCCATCCCCACTATTATTCTTTAATTCTAACTATTAAATAAGAAGCCATTCGTTTGACCGGGATATCCACTGCAAATTATTATTATTATTATTATTATTATTATTATTATTATTATTATTGTTGTTGTTGTTGTTGTGTGTGTGTGTGTGGTCAAACCCGTATGTCATTCTCTTTAATCATGTTTGAATTATAGGAATTTTGGCTACCTTTACGAAATCAAATAGATCTCCTTAAAAAAATAAAACATTTATAATTGGTTTTCTCCTTCTTGACTGACAAAAACAACACATATAATACGCTTCACAACAATAACAAAAACAACAACAAAGAACAAGAAAAATCTTTCCAAGTCAGCTTTTCCAATTTATACTATATTTTTACACACTTTGATTTTCCTTATACATACATGCCCATATTACCTTACTATATTAGCTTTAATAATTTATATCTAATAATACTTTCTACAAATCGTACTTATTATCTATTTCTCATTTCCCTGTCTGTTCCTCTGCCTTCTTGTTTGCTTATATTAGGCCGAACTTGCCGGTTCTTATCGGCATCCTCCAATGCGTCGCCGGACCCGTTTAGTACCAGTTTGCGTCTCTTAATTCATCATTTTTTTAAAATCTTTTCTTGTACCGACACTTACGTCTGCTCCCAATTAAATTATAGACTTATCTCCGACTACCGCGTTTTACATCCTCTTGCGACAGTTCGAGCAATTCTGTCTAGGCTGTCGCGTGCTGACACATCGACCGCCATCTCAGCTTCTCTGCTCCGGTACTTGGTAAATCGCGCCGCTCACTTGTCTTTCCCGATGCGCAGACTTAAAATCGTTTCTTCTTCGTAACGTTCGTAACTTTTGCGTCGAGATCCTCCTTGTTCAATGTCTATGTCCTTTCTGATTGGATAATCGCCCATTTCCGCCTGACAATATTTACTCCGTGATATCCGGCCTCCCTGTCATTTTTTTTATTTTAATTATTTAACGGATCCTCCCCACGTGTCCATTATCGATTCATTACGAAAAAAACTGACACTATTTCCCCTGTCTATTCATCATTTACCACGTCCCTTATATTCTGTTGTTGATATATTTAATATACGGATAATGCTGATGCCCATTGTCGTTGAACATATTTTTAAATAACTCTTACTTTTGATCTTATTGGTTTGGACCTCTATTGACCCATCACATTATATACTTCCACAAAATATTTTGTAATTACGAATTTAAATAATACTCAAAGTACAATAAATATAATTTTGTATCGTATCTTTTTATTGCAACAATATATTATTGTCAATTGCTATTAATTAGTAATTGACACACATACAAATTTCTGAACAATATCTAAACGTATCGGGTTTTAACATATTGTTATAAAATATGTGTAAACAATTTTAAATGCAAAATCTTTAACATTTATTAAGGTTGACGCATGTTTTTCTTCACACTTCACCATCAGGATGATTTAGAAGATGTGGAAATCCAACTCTCGATCTGTCTTTTTCCGTAGGTTTTGATTCTCACGCAATCTTGATTAGTCTTTTATTGTCGAACCTGGTAATGTGCTCATTCCATTCTCTTCATCTTGTAAATTTTACTATGTCTGTAATGTCACATTGATTACTGATATCTTGGTTATTCAATCTGTCCCATCTTACTACACTCAATATTGATCTTAATGTTCTCATCTCTGATGCTCTAAGTAGAGTCTTAAGTTCTTCTATTATCGGCTCTTGTTTCTGCTTCATATGGTCTTACCGTAGTTTTGTAAATATTTACTTTGCTTTATGAAAATATATGAAAATATTAGGGAGATAAATTAAGATATTTATTTCCCTATGTCACATCTTTCAAATACCCTAATATTCTGTCTCATTTCAGTACTTGCTGCTTAATTTCATTACGCGTATTCCGTGTGCTTGAAATTTCAACTCCTAAATAAGTGAGTTTTCTTACTTGCTCTATTATTTTATTCTTGATAATTCTTCTTAATTTACACCGCATACACTCTTTTGAAATCACAATTGATTTTGTTTTTTTCAGGTGAGATGACCATATTATAATATTCTGCCCTTTTCGAAAATTTATGGAAGAGTCTTTGCAAGTTGTCTTCTGAATCTGCCAATAACACCGTATCATCCGCATAACACAATATAGATATTATCTCACTACTCATTCAATATCCTGACATTTCTTTTATACTGTCAGATAGACAGAGACAGACGAGACAGACAGAGACAGACAAAGACAGACAGACAGAGACACACAGAGACAGGCAGAGACAGACAGACAGAGACAAACAGACAGAAACACAGAGACAGGCAGAGACAGAAACACACAGAGAGAGAGAGAGAGGGAGGAGGAGGGAACAAGAAAGAGGGAGGGGAGAGAGATGGAGAGCAGGATATCTTCTGGGTTCCGCTAGTATTTTCTAAAATTTGTACATATCCTTATTTAAAGATCTGCTTTACAACAATATTTGTTTCAGGAAAAATACCTTCAAAATTGTTATTGAAAAATAACGCTGAAAAATATTTACATATTTGCAATTTGGGAAAAATCAGAGATTTTAACAAAAATGAGACCCACGCCATTTTACAAGTTCCACTATCAGAGGGGATAATAAAAAAAATTGGAGCAATTTTTCAGAAAATGTGGAAAAAGCTGACTATGCTTCAAGTGAAATAACCCAAAAATCAAAATATGTTTCAAAGTTGCGGGACCTGGCGTTCGTGCAGATCGATCGTAGAGTATCTGTCTCGGAGAAAATTGTCTGAACGGTTTAGGCTTTAGCGTTGACAAACACGTTTTGCCGTCAATCGATTTTTTGGTACGCACACATCATTCATTAACAAAGTGATACAGGGAAGTCATTTACTACATACAGAAACGGTACGTATTCGTACATCTCTCATCTGCAATATTTACTTTTAAGTGCGCTTTATAGCACACTTTGTGAGTACAAGTGTTTCTTATGAATTCTGATGAAGTTTCTCAAATGTTTCTTCCTGTACTTTCTTTCTGTAAAAATGAACTCAAAATTTTGCATTTTTAGAAACTCTCGTACGACAAGTTTTCAAAAACATTTCCACTTTTGGCAATAAAAATGTGTGTATAAAAACAGATATCATTATTCTACGATATTCTTAAAGTCTTTTTTGATTATTAGGAAGCTCAAAAAAAAAAGTATAAAACGTGTAAAATATGTACTGTAGTTGCCGATGGGTAGTATCTGGGAAGAGGGTGAGGCTAAACCGATAAGCTAGCCCATTCTAAAGAGAATGGGTGTAACCCGCGGTCAACTTTTAACTCGTTTACCTAACTCTTCAAAAAGGCATAACGTAACTCCAGTCCGTTGTTTTCCTCCTTTGTGTAAGGATTGATTGTTTCTGTATTTGCTGTGGTCTGCTGAAAAACACATTGATAGATTATAATTTATTCACTTCTGTGCGTTTTCAAGAAATATTTCATGTCATTTTAGAGCATTGTCAATGTTGAAAACCACCGCGTAAAAGTTTGTAGAAACAAAACATCAAATTCCAAAGAGTCTGCCATGTTCACCTGTAGACGAGGTTTTCTCTGGACTGATGCGAGAACATCTATAAGCGCTATTTATGAATGCAAACTGAAAAAAAAAATGTTTACTGCTTTCTATACACTGAATGAACGAAACGGGATGTCGTCGGTCTGTGTGGGTCTGTGCCTTCTCAGGTAAGGAAAAGTGAAAGGGGATTAGTTTAGAAGCAAGGTTAAGGAAAAACTGACCGTGGTAAGTAGTTGGGGGAATCCCCTAAGATTAGGATATTAACTGTGACAGTGCTGTTCTGTAGTATTGCTAGTTTTCAATGTTTTAATGAAAAAAATAACTAGGGGGTGAATTTGAAGACCTGAAACATTGCCAAAAATGATCAATAAAATGCTCTTAAAATGTTTTTGAAATCCCGTAAAAACAAAGTAAATTACCTTAAAAAATGATCAAATTCACTTCAGAGGAATAACTCAAGTTGTTCGGTATGTTACTGATGTAATCGAGGCAGTGAACTCAACCTTCAAACATTTGTTTTGGAATGTTCTTTAAAAGAAAATCTCTGCTTTCATGTATCGTGAAATCAGCCGAACTGTCAATGGCGCCGATATGCGTCACAGGAACCTTAGATTACGTAGTACTCACAACGGCTGGCATTACAATTTATGAGCGAAGAAATCGAAATAGGCTACTCAGGAATTCTGTAGTGAATATTTGTTGCACCTCGTAAATATTTTTGAAGCCAGTCCTATTAAAAATTATATAAAAATCGATTAAAACAGTGAAAAATGCATTAAAAATTACGTAAATTACGTAAAAAGGTGAAACAACTATTTATTAATTGCAATCGACGAAAAGTGCAAAAAATGACATAAAAATTGGTCATTTTGTTTTATCATAATATAAAATGAATTTCTATACTTAACATCTTTGTTTTCACGTGAAAAGAAAAAAATATATTTCATTAAAATCCGCCCCCTAAACGTAACTATTTGTTCTAACAACTTATTTCGTTATTGGTGCTTTTTATTCAGTGGGGTCTAACTGGACATGCTACTTCTAACACAATTATTTTCACGGTATCATAGAAGGGATATTATTGTTTTCATTTCATGCTCAGTAGTTGGGTTAATATTTATTGTTGTTTTTTATATTATAAATTTAAATATAGAAAAGAAGCGTAGTAGTCTGTAATATGTATATCAGATGTAACATTATTTCTACGAAATGAAGAAAGTTGACAGAACGACGTACGCGTTTGTCAAGCCGTGAAGATGGCAAACGTTTCGTGAAAAATGACGCACGAATAAGACAAAAGACTTCTGCAAGTGTGTTACAAATAAACTTCTGGCCTACCGCCTAAATTATTCGTAGGAATGTTGCCAATGTGAATATTCTAAGGTCAATTTGTTCTGGGTCGTGGCCCTGCGATTTTGCAAAAATCGAAACTGCGGCAGAGTGTTTTAATGGTATTGACAGATAGGCATGATGTAGAAGTAAGAGGTATTCTGATCGCCACAACAACATTGGAGGCTTTGAAAATATTGAAAAAAAAAAAGAAAAAAAAAAGTTTACGGAGACCTTTTACTTCATTGACATTTATACTTATTCATGTACTGCATACGCAGTGTAGAGAAAGTATTGTTATTCTGAAGGGAAAAATCTGCGATTTTTCAACAGAAAACGGCTTCTTGCCAGGCCCTGGTAAAGAAAACGTGAATAAGTCTAGTTTCTATACGCAGTAAATTACTTTCTCTATCACATTGCGTAGTCAAAATCCATGTTTTGTGGGTCCTTAACACCGAAACGTCGATTGACAGCAGAACATCAGTGCGTCCGTCCCACCGTCCGTCCGCCCTTCTGGGATCAATGCTAGCGTCTACACCGTCCAGACGAATTTTTCCAAAATTGGCAATCTCCGATCGCTCTGATCGAAACCGAGGCCAGCTAGTTTGAAAATGATATTTTGATTTTGGGATGTACTCTATAAACAATAACGTTTTCAAAATTTTCTCAAAAATCACCCCAAATTCATAAAATATGTTGCTTAAAGACACATCTTGAAATAATGTCATGTTCAATTCTTTGAAAATATTTGTAGTTTTTGCGTAATTTTGCGTATTTGAAATTTTTAAACAAATTTAAAAAAATATTTTCTCAAAAGCCACTCCAATTTTTTTCTTTTCACCTTTTTCTCGTGTGCGTTTCATAACGGTAAAGTAAGTGATGCTGGTCCCGTTTTCGACAAGCTCCCTTTATTTTCGAAAATTTCAAAAAAGTTCAAAAATATTATATTTTTAAACTACAATATTGACTGTATTGTTTTAAACGAAATATGTTCTAAAGAATCAGATCAATACAAATGGTCATGAACAATTTTAAAAAAAACTGAGTTGTTTAACCATTATTAAGAACATTTCGAAAATGTGATGAGACTTCATGTAAAATACATCAAAAAATCAATATATTCGTTTCAAATGCAGAAGGAATTGGGTTTCTTTAAATCAATGAAGGAATATCCAATTTGGAGAAAATCGGCTGATATGTTTAGATGCTAGTGATGACCATAGACATACAGACAGACGGACGGTCAGTCAAATACATTTTGCCTTCAATTGATTTTGGGTATCAGAACCCACAAAATATGGATATTGAAGAGGAAAAAACAACAAAAAACATTTTCTCAAAAAACGCTTCTACGGTTTTCTTAATTTTTTCCCTTTGGATAGAACAAGATGAGAAATGAGACGTGTGTGACAGAAGAATGTCACAGGTCTCATTTTCGGTGACCGCACTAAATTTTCAAAAATTGAAAAAGTTAGAAATAATACGAGAAAGTCTATACTGTTGTAGCATCTCTAGTTCCAAGTGACTATTTCATGTTTCAGAAGTAACAAGTACAGTTTTGTTGGTTATCAACGTTATCATGTTTAAACAACATTTAGAGTTGGTCATCCACAAAATTTTATGTTCTCTCTCGTGTCTCTGTTCGGTTGTCTGTAAAGCAGAGATTGTGACAGCCTTCATTGTCTGCCCTATTATTGTTTCGATGCGATATTAGCGATCTACCCTATAGATGCAGTCACCCTTTCTTCGTAAAAAGAGAGAGTTATGTAATCGTGCGGGAATTTTCGGCAGAAAAACTCCTTTTGCCTTTAATACGTGGTGTAGCCAGAATCTATGTTATGTGAGTCCTTGAAACCGGAAAATCGATTGATTCAAAATTTTATCAAAAATGACTAAATTGATGATTAAACTTTGTCCTTGGTTAGCGTGAAGAACACTTTAAAAAATTGTGCGGGTCTCATGTTCTTTAAAATCCCAGATTTTTCGAAAAACTGTAAAAGTGCAATTTTGGGAGCGTCTTACAACTTTAATATTATAGACATTTATTGAACATTGAATATATGTTTTCCTGAATGAAATCTCTTCTTTAAAGACAGATCTTAAAACAAGGCCAAATAGAAATTTTGGAAAACGTGAGTAGTTTTTGTGTAATTTTGAGCGAAATAAAGGCGCTTTTAATTTTGTATACATTTTTCCCCCCAAAAAAACTATTTTAAATTTTTTCTTTAAATATTATTCTCATATGTATCAACGGATGGTAAAAAATATGAGGCTAGTTTTATTTTCGGCCATCTCTAATTTTTTTCGAAATTACAAAAAGTTAACATTTCAAAACTGCAAAATTGAAGATAGAACTGTTTACCTTAGACAAACTGAGTTGTTCTTTAAAAAAAGGCATGTACAATTTTTGAAAAAGATTTCGCCTAATTATGTCTTAAATTTGTTAAATTTCTATTCCCCCCTTAAAAAAACACGCTACAAATTTTTCTTCAATTTTAGGCTAGAAGAAGGGGCGCTTAAAATAATGGCGTGGGTCCCGTTTTTGTTCACTTATTTTTATCTTCGAAGAGAACATATATGAATAATGCGAGAAAGATGTGCTGCTGTAGTTCCACTAGTTAGTATTCGAATTGAAATGCAATTGAATGTGAAAAGGCATTGGTTCTACCCTCTTCGTTTCGGCCCTCGCCCTGCGGCGTTGCCGTGAGAGAGTCAGCAGGTCAGCGGCCGCTTCCGATTAAATGGCGTTAGAGGATCCGCGTGGACGTTATTGCCCTCCACCGGTAGAAAGGGTGAGGTGGCGCCGGCGCCGGCGCCGGCGCCGGCGCCGAATCATCAATTTGCGCCGAACGGAATGAGCAGATAAACAACGAAGAGGCGGCTTCAGTATCAGAAGGATTGCAGGAGGAAGACTTGGTAAAAATATGTGCGTGAAGAAGCTATTGAATCATTTGTTATACGAGAGCGTAGGCTTCCGCGGCCGGAGTCAGTATTTACTAGGCTGTCCGGGTGACGCCGCGTCCATGGCGAAGGTGCCGACGTTTCGGTCGCCATTGTGCGACCTTCCTCAGGGCGTAATGCGAAGGTCGCAGAATGGCGACCGAAACGTCGGCACCTTTGCCATAGACGCGGCATCACCCGGACAGCCTAGTAAATATTTGTTAGACGCTTCACCGAGCCAGGGACGGATTCAGACGATAATTAGGGGGGATCATTGGAGATGTCCAGCTATTCTTGAGAATATATTTGAACATTTCAGAAAATGCATAATTTTGAGCTCCTTTTTTTAGAAAAGTTTTGAGTTTTCGAGAGACTTTATCAGATCATTTTAAGAAATAGTCTTTGCAAATACATTAATGTTCAGTAACTTACAGTAAACTTACAGTAATGTCAATATTAACGACGTAAGAAATATTAAAACACATTGCATCACTTTATTCAGTGTATTTACCATTATCCGTTCAAAACGTTTTAAGAAACAATTTGGAGCTTTTTTTCCCTTCAGAAAATGTAGTTTCTTTCTGAAAATTCAGAATTTTGAGCACACTTTTAAAGAAGAGAATTAAGATTTCGAGAAACTTTGTAAGACACCATTTGAAGTATTTGTACTCCCAAACGAAATAATGTATTTCAATTATATTAATGACGTAAAGATATAATTTTGAAGAACAGATTTTATTCAGAGGAAAAATGACTTCGTGACAGAAGTAGGAAGACATCGAAAAAGTTGAACTTTTCGGTGTCTTGCAATTTGCAATTTTCGATATTTCAAATATTTCAACAAAACTGAGACCTATGTCAGTTCTGTAAGAGTCCTATACCCTGTCCGATGATAAAGTTTAATTTAAAAAAACAAAACATTTTTTACGAGAAAATTTCCTTGATGCTTCATGTAAAGGAGCTCTTAAAATTAAAACGACTGTCTCAAATTCAAAAGCCTGCGACATCAGCCAGATAGATACGGCAATATCAGTTGTGGTGAAAATCCTACTTACGGTTTAGCTGCTAGCGTTTTTCACAGACAGACCGACAGACAGACAGACGTTTTGCCGTCAACTGTATTTTGGTATCAAGAACCTTCCACGTGTGGATTCTGGGTACAGAAAGTGTTAGAGGTAGTAATTTGCTATATATAGGAACATAAATTATCCACTTTTTCGTTATACGCGACCTCCAATAAAAAAGTTTCTGTTAAAATGTAGCCGTTTCGGCTGCATCATTACATAATTTTTTCTGTACTACATAGTAAATGCGAGTAGTAAATTAAGCGAGAAGTAAAATTGACACAGTGTCTGTGATTGTTTTCTCTAATATCATGTCTGTATTCAAGAATTATTCATGTGAACAGCTAAAGGCAAAGAAACTGCTTTGAAGTATAGCACTACTCCGTAATTCGGGGATTATTTAAGATACTATTCGTTCTTTTTTCAATTCGATTAATTTCTGCCCTGGTTGTACCTAGCATATAAAAAAATACTATTTAAATAAATATTTCTTTTTGTAACAATTAACTATTGTTATTAAAATTGTTTTGGATCGTTTGGGGTATGGATTACCATGCAGATAATTGCAGGGTTTTACGGAGTACTATTCTTACTCCCCACAGAGATCACCTGAATCAATTACGTGTGATTGTTAGAAGTGATCATTTTAATACTGTAAGTGATCAGTTTAATACTTGATTATTAATATGCTTGCAAACAAATGCCTTAACATCAAGGACTCCAAGGACTTGCTTCTAACAAGAAGAGTCAAGAGCTGTCAGTAGAGTGGCCTGTGTAGACCACCGCAACTGTTTACGTATGTCGAGAGTTTTCCCTCTACCTTATACATCAAATTAAACGAATATAAGACGATATTTAAGCACTATGTACAAAGGACAGGCTAGTGGAATAATCTTTTTAGCAACATTGCATGTGAATGAACTCCTCCGATTGGCTCAAAGCAGGTTTCCTTCATTGCATTCCATAGCGTCCTCAAGAGTAAATAGTTCCCCATGTTTGTTCTTGTATCTTCTGTCAGTCGCAGTATACGACTTACGTTATTGCAATAGTTAGTAATAAAAACGCAAAATTAAATTTATTAGAACAACAAATGAACCTCATTCGAAAAAATATTTGTCCGCCGTACAGAAGCGAACTTTCCCACAGTTGAGCGCGCGCAAGGACACAAGCATCCTTCGGCGGAGGAGGGACTACTTTCGCGGAGGTTCGAGCGAACAATAGCAGTACAGAGTGGACCGCGACGCCTGTCGGTGATGGGAACGGTGCGTTAGCGTGTTGCTTTCATGACTCGTCCAGTTGAACCAGAAACCATAAACACATGGTTAAAGTGCGCGTGAAGTTGTGTCTCCGTTTAATCAGTGTGAATGTGTACTGTCTAATGTGTGCCCTTTGAGGATATTCCGGTTTTTTCGCCGCGCAACATGTGGCGAAGCAAGGATTATTTTGTTTTGACGGCATTCCTGCTTGTAATCGTCTCGCAGACACATTTAGTTGAAGGTAGGTTGATAATGGAATGTTTTCTGCATTTTTTTCCTATTTGTGTTTTGTGAAAAATCGCGTTCACGGAGCGAATTGTGCAGTGCTTGAAGATCTATGTGTTGTCGACATCGCCGCCCGCTTTGGATTACATGAATCAAACCGATCGTTGAAATCACCACGCAGCATCATTCCGTTGTGTTATGTGCATCGACATTTTTTTTTAAGGAACAGCAAGACACCTGTTGTTAGTGTGTGCATATAATTGTGCAATGGAAACTTCATCGGAAATGTGTTTATCACGTGTGCGTGAATTGATGGATACTGGAAACTGCATCGTTCGCCACGACCAGGATTTTGGGTGATGTGTAGTCGCCGTTTTTTTTCGTTATCAGTGTTTTTCTTATGTATATTATTATTATAATGGTGGTTTCGCATGTGTGGGAACAAATGCTAGAAAACATAAGTTGCAAATAGGCGCGAAAGTAGGTTAATTTAACTAATGAACAGAGTTTTGTACCCACCCTGCTTGTCTCCCATTACGGAGCCGAGATGCGGCGTGGTTCTCAGGCTTTCTCCCGCTGCGGGCGGGGCATGGAGCTAGCTCCTCGTCCCGCGGCGACGGCGGCCGCGCCGCTGAGGTTAGGTGCGTTCTTTGTTGGGAGACTCAGGAGGGCGGAGAAGGGACGCAGGTACGGGGCGCGTCATAAGTTGATGCATCTCTGGTTCTCTCGCGTGATCTGTAAGGATTTTTATAAATCAGCTCTGATTTAGAACTTATTTACAACACATTCTTGGGTACGAGTAATTAAATGTGCTACAGCGATGGATACAGGGCAGTAGGCACTATTCTCAGGGGTTCTTCCGAAAATTCTTACGTTATTGGAGGAGGGGTTTGTCAATTTGTTTACGAAGTTGTAAGGAAAAGGGGAATAATTAAAGTGTACATTCACAAAAACAAGTGCATTTAAAGTAGACAGAAATGTCACAAATCATGTTTTACTAACAAAAAAATTGTTTAGTACTTACCTCATTTTATTCTATTTTCTCACGTCATTTTAATTGCTTATTAGATTGATTATATTACATTTTTGTAATTTAGTCAATTGATAATGGCGCGTGATGGGGTAGAAGATTTTTGTTTCGAAATTGCACCAAGGGGAATAAACAAACTTTTTGTATGTATAATTATTGAACGACTCCTTGTTTCTGTCAATTTCATGAAACCCTTCAAAGTGATTAGTCAATATTTTGCTATTAAATTTCGGGTTGATAGTTCTAACGTATTGATAGTAAAATGCAGCTCTTAAAATTGGTTTGTTTTTTATTTGACGTAATGGATACTTACATAATTTTTAAAATAGTTTTTTTTTTGTTGACGGAATGGGTATTTATACTTTTCAGATAGGTAAGAAAATAAATTTTTATTAGCCGTGTGACTGTTTCGTCCCCACGCATAGCAATTCTACCTGCGCGATTCCCTTCAAATCGAAGCCGTGAGAAGTGCGAGCGAGAGCGCCAGCCGGCCGGCCGGGCGGTCGGTGGCGGTGCGAGTCGCCGCGCGGTGCTGTACCCAGAGGCAGCGGCTGGGCTACCTGTTGGAGCCGCGGCGGCGAAGGCATGGCCGCAGCCTCCGAGCAACAAGTTGCGCGCCCGCCTCTCCGCCGTCCGCCGCCATTTGCTCCTCCCGGAGATCAAATCCGCTTCGGGATTTGTTTCAATATTGAACTAGCTTTCCTATATAAACATTTTCCGAATGCCAGTCAACCGCCGTGAGCTTTTTTTTTGAAGGCCTAGACGTGACGGAGAAATATGTCAGTACAATCAACACAAAGCAACTAGAACAAAATAAGAAACACGTTCAGTTATCCGTAAGATTTTGTTTTTTTGTTTTTACAATTAAAATAGTTTGGCAGTAAATGTTTAATCTGTGAAACGCAAATGAGTTACTGGGGATACTCAAGGGTTTATCAAAGATAATATTTGCAACAATTACATAATCGTGTGTCCGTGAGTTGATAAACCGGAAGCTGCGATGTCTAATGAACACTTTAGAGAGCAGGGTTCGTGAGTCAACGGTGGGAATTAACAATTGTACTCTCCTATAACAAAGGAATATTCGTAGAAGTTGCTAAATTTTCCTTTACAATTCTGAAGTTAATCGTTGTGTAATTTTGATGAATCATAGAAGGGCCTTCTGTCACTTGGCGAGTGTCTCACGAGATACCATCTTAAGTTTTCATAAAATATTTTCAAGAAAATAAATTCCGTCATATCCGAGAAATTACATGAATCCGAAATTCTAATAATTCTTCCAGGCAAAAGAGAAAGGCGTAAAATAAATGTATCTGATTTACATTTTTAAAAGTGTTTGGGATTCATGATTGTGATTCAATTTTGGCGATGCAAATACAATTTTCAGGTTTTATTATTATGTTTCAGTAGATTATTGCGGTCATTCCTCAAATTGTAGTTATTCTCAGATTGCCGGATTGACATTTTCCCCTTAATGACGTTTCCTTTTAATCAGAAGATGTATGAGAATTTTCTAAATTCAATGAAATTAGTGGTTGTAATATTTTTAATCGCACATTTCACTTTTCCTTCGCAAATTATTTCTAAATTAAGAGTAGCATTTGACCGGATAATTTTGTTAACTTTTAAAAACTGAAACATGTTTCATGTTTTTATTGGAAAAAATTATTTAGAAAATATTTGAATTTCCTTATATTTCAAATCTATAAAATCGAAGCAGTCATGTGCGCCAGCGGGAGTATTGGTAAATGATTTTGAAGAATATGCTCTAAATTTTTATCTGTTCGTTTTTTGGAAACGAAGTTAATTTTATTATTGATTGTTAATAATATTATTTATTGATTTATTCCTGTGACATTTCTTGCCTCTTAACAATTACTCTAGTCTTAGGTTTGGCGGAACCTTCTCTCATAATCCGCGATCACTAGATATTTTGGGAATGCGATTGATTCTTGAATGAAATTTGCAGTAAAGAATTTTTGTAGCGCCAACAAATTTACGAGGTGTTTAATCCTATCAAGAATTACGGATCTTGGCGGAAGTCACGATAAACATAATTTTGTACTATTCATTGCTATAGAAATGCTCGGGCTTTTATGGAAATGCCCCCAAAATGCCAGTATAGTATCAATAAATTTTAAGCATAATCTAGAATAACTCTTAGTAAATGCTATTACAACCAAATGCCTTAAAGAGCCACAAACTATTTCGAAATGAGAAGAAAAATAGTTACCAAATTTGAATCATTGAAATTATCAATATTAGCCTGAGGTGTTTATTTTTTTGATGTCTTATTTTAAGTTCTAAGAGTTTAGTGAGTGGGGAAACGTCTTGAGCACTGTGAGAGAATCACTGGGAGATAATCTGAATTGCCAGAGTTATGTTTTACTAATCAAAAGTGGAGAAGCATTTTATGTAGGAATGAAGTGGATGGCTGTTTTTTATACTCAGAAAGGGAAGATTATCTACAACGAGTTTGTGAAAGGATGGTACGGTTATGATTGGCAGGTGGAAGAAGAAACAGTGACAGATGCCAATGATTTCACATTTTATTGATTTTGGGCCGAAATAGGAATGAAGGGTTGCGTACCTCACAAACCATGGGGCTTTGGTTGCAATGCGGAGGATTCTGTTTGGGAAAATTTTCATCTGGTTTTTGTGAGATGTTGCTGCAGGATACCCGGTCGGGCGGGCTTAACCGGCAAGTGGACGGAGAATAGATTGATTTAGAAGCACTGTATTTTGAGGGCGGAAACTGCATTTGCGGTTTATAATTAGTCCAAATTATTCCGTGGTCTCTTTACGCAGTTGGGAGTCTTTTCGCATTTTCCAAATTATAAGAATTCGCTCCTGTTAGGAATTGTGGCGGTCTACGAATCAGTCACGCTAAACGGCGTCGGTTGATCATTTTGTACAATTCACTGCTACACGAATTCTCAGACTTTTAAGGAAACGTGTACCTGAAGTAGTAATTCTTCTTAAGCACAATTTAGAATAACTTTTAAGAAATATAATGGCAATGAAATGCCTTAGTGAGTGAAAAACTATTTCGAAATAAGAAAGAAAGAAGGGGGGGGGGAAGTAGTTGCGTCACAAAAACATTTTGAATAATCTAATTTTGCAACATTAGTCTCCGTTTTCTTCGTTATTTATTTTCGCCAATCGGTTGAGGCAGTTGGGGGCGTTGAGGGGCTCCACGTTTTCCCGTTCAGGGCCTCGCGCTTCCGCCTGCCCGGCTCTGTGGGAATGCCTGCCTGCCTACCAGCCCGCTCGTCCGCCTTCCGCCTTGAGAACGCAGCGCGTTTCACACACACGCGCCCGCCCGCCCACTCGCTCAGCGCCCCAATACGCCTAATTAGGCGGCGATCGCCATCGCGTGGGGACCATTCTCAGCCGCCCGCGCCTGCCGCGTGCCTGCTTCGCGTTTTTCCGTCGGGCCAACAGTTTCCCTGGGCCTCTGGAAAAATGTACCGCAGCCACTTGTTGGGTTTCGTTTTGGGTGAAATAATTAAAGGTATTCTCATTGCCAACAATATTGTTTAATACAAGATCAGCTCTGTGGCTTAGCCATCAGTTTCCTGTTGTTTGGAGGCCGCAAAACGACTGCTTTAAATTATTTTATTTTAAATGCGAACGACAACTCACCTCTGAACCAGTATTCGTTTTGGATGTCGCCGAAACCCATTTCCAACTCATTGTTAACCATAGAAATAAACTAAACTAATTTTGGTAGGATTGCTTCCGACATGCCGCTCGATTTGCAATGCGTGCTACATGTTCGGCAGTCTTATCGCGCCTTGCTCGTTCCACGTTCTGTTTTTGGTGTGCCCGTCGTAACGAATTAAAGGACGAGGGAGCGTTGGTAGGTGTGGCGCGGGGCGGGGTTTTGTCGGCCGATTGTGCCGCGCCGCGCGCCGTGAAAAGACCTGTGATGGAGGGGGGGGGAGGGGTGACGCGGCCGCAGCGTCCGATCGCTGTGTTTACAC